CTACCTGATTTGTATCTATAGGCTATATGCTGGCCCCTGTCATGGAAACCAGCTATCAGATTGGAGTTAATAGTTTAATTGGGAGTGAGCCTGGGGAATTGCTCACGGACTTCTGGGCCAAGCCCCGAGGGAAATGTGATGAAATGCTTGGAGATAAATCACTTGTTTAGGGTGGAAAATTTGCGTCTTAAATTTTGAAACATAAGCTTTAAATTAAATCAAAGCAAAGCTACTAAATAAAGACAGAAAACAGTTTTTATTGATAAAATATTACGTATAGTCCAAAATAATCATCAAATACCATCAAAACAAATCACCACAAATATCTTATAAGCTTTCTAAGCCCTACTTTATTTGGATAACTTTAAATCAAAGTCTTAAAAAATAGTTCTCATACTTATCTTCCCATCTTGGGCAAAACAGCAACCTTTGAACTCAAATCACGCCAACCTAATTAGTTCTAACCACAAATAAAGATAAACCTCCCAGAAATCCCAGAAAACACACTGCTTCCGCTTACAGATATAATCCCAGAAAACATCTTTAATTGTTTTTTTTTGGGATAACCTCGAGTAGGCCTAACGGAACCGCTCAGTTTGAGGTTAAAAGTATGACCCAAGCGACCTCATTGCACCTCTCTATGCGCTTCTCACACACTTTTCCTCCGACCTTACACAACCATTTCGGGAGGCCTCATTAACTGACCTCAGTTGACAATTTTAATGGGTCTTGGAGCCGGAGACCCACGAAAATTGCCTAATGAAGTGCTCATGGATTGCGAATGCCAGCCAAGAGTCAAGCGAAAGGTTCCCCCGGAAAAAAATGTCTATAATGGCGGACAGAAACTCAGAGGCAAAAAGTTTGTTGAACTTCTGTTACGCCAAAGAAGTAAAAAATGCTGCTGAAAAAATTCAATTTCTTTGCATATTAAATCAGCCAAATCATCGTGACCCGGGGCCAAACTAGTTATAAAAAGATCTACCGCCAAGCCGATGGGTTATGTCATGGTCCGGCCAGGCGTTTCCCTCCAAAACGCTAATGTGCCTCAAAGAATATTCGTACAAAGTCAGGGCCAACATTTCTGTCCAGGTTCTTGTGGGCCCATCTATGAATTCATAATTCTTTCAACCCGTTTGGCCACTTCTAATACCAATATTTAGCCCGGGGGGCAAATCTGGGTTCAAACACCTTTCAAAAACTTGCCTAATGCGTGTGTAGTATTGATTGGATCGGAGTGTGTATCTATGGCTCCCAAAACGCGATTCGGTTTTTTCATCTTCGCGGCGGCTGCGAATCCCCAACAAACCGAAAAACGGACTCATTGCGAAAGAAATCTTCATGTCTCGAACAATTTGTTGCGCCTGCTCTGCAAGTCAACCAAGCTGGAGCTGCTGCTGGTGGTGGAGCTGGAGCTGGAGTTGCCTCATTGTATATCACTGAAGTATATTTTTGAGATGTTACCTACAGTCCAACTTCCCTAACCCAAACCACAAGCTCTTAATCAAAACACAGACACACACAAACCTAGACTTTGGGTGGTAGGTTCGAAAGGTATCTTTAACTAAAGGTTGTATTTAAAATATCTGTAATACTAACAAAAAATCTTTTCAACATTTTTATTAAATCCATAGTTTTAATCACAAGTTAATATTGCAATAAAACTCCTTTTAGATACTTGTTTTCTTTTGAAAGATACATTGACTTTTCATAGTAGGACTGTTTGATTGCCCATTTCGCAATCTTCATTTCTAATGCCTTGGAAACTATTTGCAATTTTGTTGGCTGCTCGACGTTTTACAGTTTGATTAGCTGGAAAATTTGCCATCATTTAATTAAATTATGTTTGCAGTTGGTAGTTACTAGTAGTTGGTTGTTGGGTGCTTACGTGTATGGGCAGCCAAATGACAATGAACGGAAATGGCGAGCAATTTGCATGCAACGGCAGCTGACTTATTCCGTTTCCATCTCTTTCCGTCACCCTCCCGCCATCTCTTTCTATCTCTTGCCATGAAGTGAAAGGTGCGGTCTGTTGGCCAACAAAAGCTGACGGATAAACGGAAAGCATCTTGGCCATTGAACTTTCCGTTCTAAGGTAACTTCTTGGTGATTCTGCAATTTCTCCGCACCAAGATGGTAATTGAATTCACCGAAGAATTTCTTGATATGCATGAATCGTATGAATAATCTAAGGTTTAATCATCTATCGTATCTCTTAGTGTGACTAAGGGAGCTTACCCGTAGAAATTTAAGAGCTATGATGCTTGAAGGAGAACTTCTTTGAATATTTATTCAAATTTATTTAAAGTAAAAGCTCTTAAAAATATATCTGAATATGCAAAACTATTCTTTAAAAATTCTTGTTGGCCAAAAACAAACTTAATCCCATAAAAATCTATAACTCTCCGCTCCATTTGACTCATTACCAACATGCACGCACATATTTCAATCATCTTGATGAAGTTGCAGCCAACTGTGCCACTGTGGAAAGCGAGCTTCTAGCCATTACTCTTGGGCAGCCACGCCCAACAACGCCTCCACATGGGGGCAAGGGAAATAGAATTCGTATCGCATACATAGAGTAACAGACCCAGAGCCCCAAAAAAAAAAAAAAGCGCTAACGAACCAAGTGTGGCCGAGGTCCTGGGCTTTGGGTCCCTAATGGCCTGCACATGTGCTACGTGGCAGCAAACGAACTGCAGTTGGATCCGAAATATTACCCCTTAACCCTCAAATCCCCAGAAACACGCCCTCGTTCCGACCAACAAAAAATGTCCAAAAGAAATCGACGCAGTCACGTAAAATTATTTTAATAATCACATAACTTTCGGCATTTACACGCCAGGCGTTCCAATGGGAGTAGCATTCCCACCAAACAAAATGTCAATAAATTTCGTACTTTTTGTTTGAGCTGACCAACAACAACAAAACTACAAAAACAATATATATTTTTGTATATGTACATACATATATACAACAAAGTTGAGATATGCAGAAGAAAAAGTAGAAGTTTTGGCGGCCAGAGCGCTTAAGTGGGATTTGCGGGGCACTTTAGTGTCAACTTTAACAATAAGTTGAGTGAGGCAGAACAGAAAAAATTCTAGCCAGAGACACAAACTTTTGGCGGCCACTGTGGGCTAATGAAATGAAGCCTCCTTCGCCCCCAAAACAAGCAAAAAAAATAAAATGGCAACATATACCATATACTTAGGAACTTGAGCTGATTTCACACAGCAGGTGACCGCTCTAAGACTACCAAGGATACCACACAGTTTTTAGCTATCAATTGCATCTGTCTATCCGGCAGATACATTTCACTAAAGTCAAGCCGGCTTGGACACTGGCTGGATTTTTCCAAGACTCCCTCGGGTCTCTTTGAAATTCTGCCCAGCTGAGCAGCTCCGGTGCAGTCGTTTGAAATAAATTACTCTGTGCACCTGATGACAAACTGAACAAGACCCCGCCGTCTAAACTCTGGTCCAAAAGGAGCCAAAGGGGAGATTCCTCCCTGTCATTATGCACTTTTCGGAGAGTTTCTTTTAAAATCCGGGAGTCTACAAAAAATATTTCAAATTTAAAGTTCGAAAAACTGAGACTTATTAATCTTAACATGAGGTTAGAACTCAAGAAGAAGGCTTTGAAGACGCGGTTTTTGAAATAATTGTTTCTTGAGCTATATACGCGTATGTAATCTAGACAGCCATGAAGGCTTAATTATTAATTTATTTATTTTCAATATCTTTTCCTAAAAAGGGTATTTAAATATTCTTCTACTATCTCTGAATCTATTTGTATTCCCCACTATGGCCGCATTTATTGTCATTATTATTTTGATACCGCCTTTTTTTGCTGCAATTTTTCTGTTGTTGTCTGCACAGTTTTCCTGCTATCAGACCCTAGATTTATGCCAACAAAAACAAACAATAAAAAATATATATTCGCCCTTTTTATTTTTTATTTGCTGCTTTTAATTTTGTTTCTTTCTTGTGCTGTCCAGTTGCAAGCAGCGGACAGCTGCATTAAAAAAGTTGCCAAAGAAAACAGTTTGCATTGCAATTTTTACTTGATTTTATTTTTCATCTCTCTTTCTTTCTTTCTATTTTCTTGCTTTGTTTTGTTATCAACGTTGAGGAAAAATAAAAAAAAAATAATAATTTGAAAATAAAATAAAAAAATAAATAGTTATATACATTGTTTGTATGTATATTAGGACTGGTGGATCCACAAAAGGTTGTCCGGTCTGTTGCAACTCGGTTAAGTCCACCCAACTTGCAACATCCAACTGGGTCATTGTTGTCCGTCCTGGCTTGCCGACTTGAGCAGACGTAATGCCAAATCTGGCTGCCCCAAAATTCAATTTTATACAAAAACATGCAGAAAGGAAAACAATCGAAAGTCCTATTGACTCTGGATTATATAACACAAAACCCAAATAAAATATAAACTGTAACTTGGGGGTATTTCAAAGTGATTAAAAATTGAAGAGTATAAAAGGTATTTAAAAGATATAAAACTTGGTTATATATAAAGTATACTGGAAAGTATACTACACCTGACAGATAGAACATGTAGCTTTCCCCCCCAAAAACTCATCCTTTATTAATTTTAACTTTTTTATAATTTCTTTGACTCTGACTTCCCTCTGCCGATTTTTTGCCTTTGTTGTTTCATTTTGTTTCCGCTCCGGCTTGGCAGAACTCAATTAAATTCTGTCACAACGCACACCATGCAGTCGCAAGTCGCAGGTCCTTTGGCCCCGGGACATATTTTTTATCCTTTGGGAAGAAAGGCTCCTCCCTTTGCTGTTTGTGACAGCAATTCGAAGTGTAAATGAAATAATAGCTGCTAAAAACCAATTTGGCGTAAATTATAAAAGCTTAATGGCCATTATGAATTGTAGGAGTATATAGTATAGCTGGTAGTGTATATCCCCCGACCATTTTTATTGAGCTGTCATGGCACCTTTGACTAACAATTTGTTCACTTTTGTTTCCCTTTTTCAGGTCGGTGGAGCTGATAGCCCTGCTGGCTATTTCGTGCACCTTTTTCCTGTTCATGCACACGAATAAGCTGAACAGCCGCCTCAAGGAGATGGAGGTGAAGCTGCAGCCCTCGGAGTTCTCGGCCCTGGGTATTACCGGCAATCACATCAGTGGACACGATGCTGGCAGTAAGTAACTCCCTCGGATGTATCTCATCTTAAGTGCATATCTAACGCATCGCATCTCACCTCATTTCCATCTCAAGACAATGGCCACAAGGTCGGATTGTGGGCCAGAATTTCTGCTCGATTGCATTCGCACTGCGTTGCGTATCGGAAAAAACATCATTTAATACAGGAAGTTAGGCAAAGAACAAACAACTTGGGGGTTATCTAGGAAAACTATCTAAAAAACTAAGCAATAAACACCTTAGAGAAAGTCAAATATCCTAAATGGCTAATTTACAGATTTTACAAGTATCTCCAGAAGATATAAAAAAAATATACCGAAAAATTCAGTTCAACTCACTCTACCCAAACCCAAGTAGTACCATGTTTGAAAGCTCGTTACGCCCAATTGATTTTTAATTACCACATTGACCCGGACCTCAAGCCACACTCTAACCAAAAAAAAAACTACAAAAAAGAACTGGCAGAGAGACCTTTGTTAAAATTTTCCGGCGGCGTTTGCCATAAATTAGTTGATCGTTTTAAGCTAAATTAGTGCACATTGCTTTTTGCATGAATAAATTATGGAATAATGCAGAGAAGGAGTCCAACAAGTAAATATATATGGGCTTTCAGTTTCGTGTGCATTTGGAATAGCACTAATAAACTGGCAAATTAAAATCAACATAATATATGGTCGATGCATCCATAGATTGTAGCTGCAACTTGCAACAAATATGCGCAGCCACTTTTTAATTACAATATGCATGTGTTTACATATTAAACGCATAAATAGACAGAGAGAGTTGCGCTTTTTTTTTATTTTTGCAATATTTTAGTGCATTAATAAATTATTTAGAGGCGACAGGTCCGCGGGGGCAAAGGTTAGCGGGCCTTCGCCGCGTGACTGGGAATTTAACCTTTTGACATTGCGTTAAGCGGAATTTTGTTTTTGTGGCCGAGCTAAATAATTCAGCATATTGATTGTAAAATTATTAATTCAATTAGCAAGTATAGATAATGGCAAAAAGCCTGAAAAAGGAAATCTGGGATTAATTGGCGTGGCAGTTGAAACCGTTGAAATTTATGAAATCTTTTCTGTGGTGCAGGAAAGTCTGGCAAAAAGAATATTTAAATAAATAGTTCAACATTAATTTGGTAAATATTTCAAGTAAGATTTATCCTTACTTATTGCTTACTTTGAAACTTGTTCCGTTTTCCCTATGCGGCTTTCGAAATACTTCCATTAAGATCACATTACCATAGACCACAACAGCCATCACTTGACACCTTTCGCTTCATAAAAATATTTGTCGAATATAGTACTCCGGATTCCAGTAGAAACCAAACCGAAAAACCGAACCGCACTTCAAGTGCACAAACAATGAGGTTTTCGCTGAAAAGAGCATAATTGCTGGCAAACGTATAAAGAGCGCTTTTAGAGCGTCACTTGAGGTTCTGCCTGCCACTCGATCGGCATCAGGCCACAGCCCCCTAATTAGGCCGCACTTCACTCCAACTAACTAACTAACTAATAACGCTATTATTAGGCAACTAGGCAGGTACGGTACGGAAAAAAATCCAAATCCAAAACCGAAATCAAATCAAAACTCTCTGGAAATGCAAGACCCTAATTTCCATGCCGGAAGTTTTGCGGGTTGCTCTCGGTCCGTGCAATTCCACTTGCAAATTAGGCAAAAGTTGCCCCAACAGCACCGCCAGCTGCACCAACTGATCTCCACAATGGGTGGCAAGACAAATGGACGGGGGAAAATGTGAGTTGTTTTGGGGGGCAACTGAAGAAGGAAAACAGAAGACTTCACGCCTAACTGCGGTGATTGCCAAACAACAACAGCAGTCAGCTGACGGGAAAAATGGGTAAAAAATCTGATAGTTTTGGATTTAAACTTAAAGTTAAATACCCTGAAAAATAAGCAATTTTTTTTTAGATAAGAAGACCAATATATTTAAAAAATTATTGATAGAATTTTAAAAGTTTATAAATATTTAATTATCAGTTTTTTTTTTTTTGGTTTCTTAACATTATTTGTATCTCAAAGTCTATTTAATTTTCCCATTATTCCGGATAATTAAAACACCTTTGGCGAGAGTATAGAAAGGCGTAAATTCCATAGTTCAAGTCGATCTTCCACTGTACTGTTAGTGACGATAATAATAATGATGATGATGTTGCTGGGGAAGTGGATAAAGCCGGGGCAGATGCAACATAGCAGCCAAGTGCACTTGTGGGTTATGTTTGTTGCACAGCTGGTGGCATCTTCATTGTTGCTTTTGTTGCATTTGCGTCTGCGCACGCGTCAATTGCCGACAGTTACAAATTGTCCCCGGTTAGCCCCTCTCCAAGGCAAACCGGGCTAATGGCCAAAAAAATAACAAAAATATTTTAGGAAAGCCAGAAAAAAAAAACACCAAGAAACAAAAAGAAAACGAACGTCTCGTGACGTTGATGGAGTTTTTCTTTTGGGCCAGAAGACAAAACGAAATAAACAGTGTGAGATGCAGAAAAAGGTTTACCTTCAGACACTCGTTCATCCATTCATAAATATTTCATTTAATTGACTCACACGACTTGGGGGTCGAGTGCGAGATAAAGATACGAATATGACGACGTACTCAACATGCTCGTTTAAGCCACAATGATGATGATGGCACCGTTTGTCGGTTTTTTTTTTGTGTGTATGTCTGGCTTTTTTTGTATATTTTTTTTATATATACATATACTTGTTCATACAGCCGGCAACATTGAACTTGACTTAAGTTAATTAACGGTGCTGAACGTTGCAAGTCAAGTTGGCTGCTTGGCGGTTGCTTAATTTCGTGGTCTAATGAGCAAATGGAAAAACTCATGGTAAAAGCTTTAAGGCAGAGATTCTTCATCTTCTTTTTAGGAAAGGTAGAGGAAAAGAGGTAAATTAATAAAATTAAAAGATACTTGTAAGTGACAAACCTTAAAGAACCTTTCAACACACCATCTACCGCCAGTCATTGTTTTTCATGTTAAGCTGAAACCCACAATTGTCTGCCCCTTTAACAAAAACTTCTACGAAAATCTTAGAAAAAATATAGTAGAGCCAACTTTGCCCCTGGCTAAAATGCATTGCAAACCAGTTCTTTACACTGACTACCGCACAAGGCAGCTTTATTTTCAATTAGACATTCGCCCAGACACGAACTAACCCATAAAAAAGCAGCCACAGCCACACCAGCACCTACGATGCTAGTTGGCCAAAATAAGTGCTCTTGGCCGGAGCTGGAAAATGCAGGCAAGCAAGCAATTTGTGTTAGCGAAGGCGGATAATTTTGGAGTCAGATCTTGAGATACGGAGTGATAGAGAGATTGCGAATCGAAACATTAAATTAACACAATTAACTGGCTTTTGGGTGGGATTGGCCAGTAGAACTGAGACTTTGGATAGAACAATTGTAGCTAGAAGAGCGGAACTGGTTGGGTAATAAGGAAATAATAGCAATGGCACGACTTTTATTTGTCTGATGAACTAGATAATAGAAACTATGGATTATTTCCTAACTTAGTTAGGAAACTATAAATAAAAGTTAGGGCAGGAAGGTTACCCACAAACTGTATTAAAAACCCTTTATTTGAAAACCTCCTTTGATCTACCATAAAATATGGACTCCACCCCGCCACTGAATGAACTCTCCCATGTATAAATACCTCATATTCAATAAACTGCGACACCTGGTATGTGGTTCACCTTCGCCGGCAATTGAAGTGGCCAATAACCGGAGCTAGGCCAAGATTGAAGGTTGCATTAGAACAGTAGAGAAAATCGCTTTTGGGGCCAAATCCAAAACAGGGCAAACAAGTGCACAAGAGCTGCAGGCGACAACTGCATTGGGATGTGACCCAATTTTTGGAAACCACACAAACGAAAGCAAAAAAGTACAAAAACCCGAAATCCGAGAAAGATTCAGGCTGTAAAAAGTGTCAAATAAAAGGAGAGCCGGGCTGGCAGCCTGGCAGGCTTCTATTTTAAGGTCTCAACCGCAAAATGTATTTCACTCTCGGTTCAGTGACTTTGTTGCCGGTGGTTTTAGGCCAAAACTGGATGAAACCAGTTGGTCCAACACTTTCATTCACATTTTCCAGCGAAACTGCCCAATTGACCAAATACAACGGATCTGGTTTAAAGGCAATTGGACTGGATATATGGACTTGCGTCTCAGACTTCCTTGTTCGGGTTCGGGTTAGCTTGGTTCGGTGCGAATTATGAAATGCTTGGCCATAAAATTCAAACGAACGAAACGTATCGAGACCAAAGCGACCGACCCACACCGCACCTGAAAATCAAGATGTTTTCCGCATCTCTCTGTCCACGTGATCAATGGCAGTCATTTACCACATTATGTCTTAAATTGTACAGACTCCAAGTCAGTGTGAGGAGGACAAATGTCTGACATCAGCATTTTAATTGCCAGCGAAATGGACATGCGAAAACCACCATTTGCATGCGTTTTCGATTGCGTTTACTTCTTGGCGGGAAAGAAATGGAGGGAAACCTTTCAAAATCCGCCGAGGATGATCCCTATCGTATCCGAAGTGAGCCGGAAAAGTGAAAGGAGTCATCATGATGAGCTTGCATATTTATTGCACTCGTCTTTATTTATTTATCATAGCTGTATAAATGGCTCCGACTCCGACACAGACACAGACTGAAGCCCAAAATTCGACTTTGGCTTAGGCCTCCTCCTCCTCGTCTTCCAATTCAAATATTGCATAAACACTTTTTGGGCTCAAGTGGAAAGTAAAAGTATTCGGCCAGCTTCCTTTTTTGGCATCACTTTTTGAGGTCATCAAATATATCATTATAATTGGGGTCGAGATGATAACTGATATTATCTCACTAATCATGGCAATAATCGTGAGGATTTTTGAAACAAGTGTATCAAGGTTTCTGGCATAATAATAAAATATTTGCATAATTTTTCAGAACACGACGATATCAATACCCTGCATGGCACTTATCAGTACCTGAAGAGCACTGGCCAGGTGAGTTTGTTTTTTATGAATGTCTTTTTATTTGCATTTTGCCATCTCGCCGTAAACATTGTTGCATACATTATTGGTGGCTCATATAGCTGGAAACGTAAGAAAGCATCGACGAAAGCCCATTACAGCAGCCGACATGTGGAAAGGTGGCTTTAGCTCCTTGGTGTTTGATATTGCATACTGCCTGCCCCAAAATACTACGATCACCCACCCATTCGCTGCCTCGCTCTCTACTTGCGCCCTACCTCTATGTCGCACTCATTGTGTCCAAGGCATGTCTTGTCATCAGTATCTGTAGCATCTGCCCCACCCGAGATCTCATACACATACAACACAAACAACACCACACCAACCACAAACCACACTAGAATTATGCAGTTTAGATAACCAGCCATCTGGTAGCCTATTAGCTATTCCTATTCCTATTCTATATCTATTCCTGTGCCGACTTTGATCAGGCCTCTCTCTGAAACTATCCTATAACACTAACCAAACTACGAAAATTACACTTCGACTCTGTCCTGAAACTTAGTCAGCGTTAGCCAGCTAGTTAGTTGCGACATAGAAGCGATAGAAAATCGATTTATAAAGATTAAATAGTAAAGGTAAGTGGTCGCTATGGGGAGGATTAATATTTATGCCCCCACATACCCAGCTGCGAAACATTTGCGAAATATTTTTTAGATGATGGGATGGAGGATGGCTCCAGGTGCCTTGTCTGTTGCTTCACAAAAAAAACGAAAAACGTTCAAGTAAAACCGCTTAAAGTCTATTTTTATCAAACTCTGTGTGTTGTCCTACTTGTGTCTTGACTCGTTTATGTTCGTGTGCCTCTGTGTTTGTGCTCCCAACTCCACGCAGGAAAAAGTAACTAAAAAACCAAACGAACCTGCAACCCGAAAACTGAAAACTACTCCAACAAGCACTCCCAACTTTTGCAATCCGGCAGCTTACACACCTGACCACCGGCGATCTGAACAACACGAGACGCGCCCAACTGGATACCATATTCTTCAATCGGGTCACCAAGACCGGCAGCGAAAAGATGATGGAATTGCTCAAGATTCTGGGGAAACGCAACGACTTCGTCGCCCGCCGCGATGCCGAGGGATTATACGAAGTAGTAATCATGGACCCGGTCTACGCCAAAAACTTCATCCACTCCGATATATTGAATGAGACGAAAGCCAATACCTACACGAAGCACGTGGCTTTCATAGACTTCACTGCCCTGGACGAGCCCTGGCCCATATACATAAACCTGGTGCGGGATCCGATCGAGAGGCTGGTCAGCTGGTTCTACTACGCCCGCGCTCCTTGGTACTGGGCCGAGCGGAGGGAGACCTTTGGGGATGCCGTCAAAATGCCCGACATAAACTGGCTGAAGAAGGACTTCAACCGGTGCATTGAGGAACACGATCCGGAGTGTGTCTACGAGCAGATGGAAATGGGAAACCTGGGGGACCATCGACGACAGTCACTCTTCTTCTGTGGGCAACGGATGGATATCTGCATGTGAGTAGCCGACAATCCCAGTGAAACCCACCCAACACACCATCTGCAGGCCCTTCAACTCCCACGAGGCCATGCAACGGGCCAAAAAGAATGTGGAGGAGCGCTACGCGGTGGTCGGCACATGGGAGGATACCAACACCACTCTGACGGTGCTGGAGGGCTACATCCCACGGTTCTTTGCCGGAGCCAAGGACGAGTATTACAAGATGCGGGACGAAATAGGAGAGGTTAACAAAAACCAGTTTCGGCCCTCTCTAAGCGACAGGGCGAGAGCTGTCCTTAGCAAAAACCTCACCCGGGAAATAGAGTTGTATCAGTTCATCAGACACCGGCTGTACAAGCAGTATATAGCGCTCCACTTGGAGACACATCCCAAGTTGAGGGATAATTAAAAAAAAGTAATAAAGTGTGCAGATTTAATAGGGACTTCTCGACAATGGGAAGTCAGTATATAGACTTGATCAATGGCTTTCTTTAGGCCAAGCCTTCGGGATTTTCCAAGATTTTTCAAAATTCTGGGGCCTTGTTCTGGGGCCTTGTTCTGGGGCCTTGTTCTGGGAATCAGCAATGATTTCTAAACTTTTTTTGACTCATATGAAAAGATTTTACTAAAAATAGTTAAGGTAAGTGGGCGTTACTGTGGATACATGTTTGTGCCGGGATCAACTTTACGAAATTTCTGTGCAAGATGCCTTACTTGTTGCTTCGCGAACAATTTTTAAGTTAAGCCGCTTAACTTTTAATTCTTAAATCTTCGTTTGTTAAAGCCTGTGTGTTGTATTAGTTGTGTCTTGACTCGTTTATGTTCCTGTGTCTCTGTGTTTGTGCCACCAATTGCACTCAGAAAAAAAGCACAGCAATTTAGCACAACGAAACCTGCACCCTGAAAGCTTAAAACTACTCCGACTGTCAAAAAAGAAACAACTTTTCCAATCCGGCAGCTTAAGTACCTGACTGCCGCCGATCTGAACAACACCGCCCGGGCCCAATTGGATACCATATTCTTCAATCGGGTAGCCAAAGTTGGCAGTGAGAAGATGATGGAATTGCTGAAAATTCTGGCAGTGCGAAATAACTTCGAAGCCCGCCGTGATGTCGAGGGATTCTACGAAGTAGTCCTCATGAGTCGCGACGAGTCGAAACAGTTTATCCACAGCGATGTATTGAATGCTACGACAGCTAATAGTTACACGAAGCATGTGGCGTTTATAGACTTTAGTGCCCTGAACGAGCCCTGGCCCATTTACATAAACCTGGTGAGGGACCCGGTCGAGAGGCTGGTGAGTTGGTTCTACTACAGGCGCGCTCCTTGGCACTGGGCCGAAAGGTACGAGGCCTTTGGCGACGCCATCAAAATGCCTTCCATCCCGTGGCTCAAGAAGGACTTCAACAGCTGCATTGAGGAGCACGATCCTGAGTGTGTCTACGAGCAGATGGAGTTGGGAAACATGGGCGACCATCGACGGCAGTCGCTCTTCTTTTGTGGCCAATGGAAGCAGGAGTGCAAGTGAGTAGATGAGCTGGATGCGAAGTGGATAGGGATGAAGTCATCCAAAAAATTGGTTTTGGATAGAGAGAAATTTCTTTTGAAGATTTCTTGCTCTACAAAGTGACATTCATAACAAAACCCCTTCTCAGGCCCTTCAACTCCTACGAAGCCATGCAACGGGCCAAGAAGAACATTGAAGAGCACTACGCAGTGGTTGGAACCTGGGAGGACACAAACACCACTCTGACGGTGCTGGAGGGCTATATTCCGCGGTTCTTTGCCGGAGCCAAGGAAGAGTATTATAAGATGAGGAAGTTCCTGGGAAACATTAACAGAAACCAGTTTAGACCCACTGTGAGTGATCGGGTGAGAGCCGTGCTCAGTCGAAATCTCACCCAGGAAATCGAGTTGTATCAGTTTATCAGACACCGCCTCTACAAACAGTATATAGCCCTCCAGCTGGACTTAGATCCCAAACTGAGGGAATAACTAGCCCCCGAATAATTAGCCATTAAGAGTTTTCTTTGAAGAGTAATAAACTAATCTAACTTTCAACCTGGCCTGATCTTTTCTGGTTTCAATCTAACACTACTTTGGTCTAAATTTTCGATTGGTCGGTGGAGCTTCGGTAGATAACGCCCAGTTAAAGCCCCATATACAGCCTATTGTCCATGCAGCGAATCGGATACAACGTCCACGACCGCCGGAGCAGCGAAGAGGAGCTGCGAGATAACCCAGCAGATGGACACCATCACGATCACCACAATCACCACCATCATGTCCATCACCAGGGCAGTCGCCATCCGCAGACTAATCACAAGGCCTCACATGACAAGCAGCTGGCCATACCAGAAAACAAGCCAAAGATTAAGGATGTGGACTACGAGGACGATGACGAAGATGAGGATGATGACGATGAGTTGGTTGGCGGAATGCACGAGGAGGAGGACGGCTTCAACTTTGAGGCCGACTTGCTGAATAACACCAAGTTTGCCGAGGCGGACTTTGTGTTCTTCAATCGAGTCCCCAAGGTGGGGAGTCAGTCTCTGATGGAGCTGATGGCCCGACTGGGAAAAATCAATGGATTCACACATGCTCGGAACAAGGGCAGTGCCCACGAAACCATCGTGATGAATAAGCAGCGACAGAACGACCTCGTTGGAGACCTCTTGACCCGGCCAAAGCCACACATCTACAGCCAGCATATAGCCTACATCAACTTTACCCGATTCCACCTGCCAAAGCCCATCTACATCAACTTGATCCGCGATCCCATCGACAGGATTATTAGTTGGCACTACTATATCCGCGCTCCGTGGTATTACCGGGACATGAAGGCCAAGCTGGGCGACCAGGCCCCGCCCATGCCCTCGGATGAGTTCCTGAACCTCGACCTGGACACCTGTGTGCGCACCCACGATCCCCACTGCACTTTCAACCAAGGGGAGATCAAGAACGCGGTGGGTGATCATCGCCGACAGACGCTATTTTTCTGTGGAATGAATCAGAAAGTGTGCATGTAAGTAGGCAGTAAATAGGCACAGTAATGAGATAGATTTCCTTACCGGAAAACCTCTCGATAGGCCTTTCAATTCAAAGGTTGCCATGCAAAAAGCTAAGAGAACCGTGGAGACTGAATACGCTGTGGTGGGCACCTGGGAAGACACCAATATCACACTCTCCGTTTTGGAGGCCTATATTCCTCGATTTTTCCGCAATGCCAAGGTGGCCTACTACCGTAAGACCTTCCTAGCTTGAGGAAATGTATATTCTACAAATGTATAACATTTTCAGTGGGAAAAGATCGACTCTCGCGGGTTAATCGCAATAACGTCACACGCACTGTTAGTGACGAAACCCGAACCATTCTCAGGAAGAATCTGACCAATGAAATCGAGTTTTATGATTTCTGCAAACAGCGTCTATACTTGCAGTATGCTGCCCTAAGTCATGGAAAAAAGTTCGGGGAGGATGACTACCTCTTGGTACCCGAACAGCACAACGCTTCGGACGAGGAGTATTAATAGGAAATAGTTTCAATAACTACAAATCTAGAGTTAAGCTAGCAACAAATGTACTCAGGACTGTTTATCCTTGAACAGAAATAAACAGATTATATTCTCAAAAGGGGTTTGCCATAATGTCCATAATATTACAAATACCTCGATTTGCTTTTTGTGTGAAAACCTTACACCAAATACCAGTATTCGATTGCTTTCTGTGTACCTCGTATCTCTCGCCTGGAGCTTTTTGTGTATCCGTGTTGTAGTATCTGTGGCTCGACATCTTTTCTACAACTGTCCCCTGACCTTTTCCAGCTTTGGAGGTTGAATCCCAAATATCTCAACAATACCAGATACCACACCCGCGACTTGCTCTTCTTCAATCGAGTTCCCAAAGTTGGAAGCGAGAGCCTGATAGCTTTAATGTACCGCCTGGGTGAAAAAAACAACTATCAGGTGGAAAGGTCGCCTTTCTCGAAGCCCGTTGGCGTTTTTTGGACAGTAGAGCGCCAAAAACAAGAAGCTAAGCGAATCTTTGACCTTCAGGAGGAATCGGCCTTTGCCTATGTGGAGCACATGAACTACATGAACTTTCGACCTTTCCATCATCCCCAGCCCATCTACATCAACTTGGTATGAGAGGGGAGGACATCTTGTCGGAGGATTACTAAATAACCCTTTACATTATTAGGTTCGGGATCCCGTCGAAAGAGTGATCAGTTGGTTCTACTATAAACGTACACCCTGGAACTCGATCAAAATGTTCGAGGTCACAGGGCAGTTTCAGAATCGATCCCATTACGTTAAGAACTTTGAACAGTGTGTGCTAACGCACGACTTGGAGTGCCGGTATGATTATGGGATTCGCTTCAAAGACGATACCGCCGATCATAAGCGGCAGTCCTTGTTCTTCTGCGGTCATTCCCCACTTTGCGAGTAGGTAGCTTGATATCTTTTGCCGGTTTAATGTCTCAATCGATGGGTTATCCTTCCAAGGCCGTTCAACACCCCAGCAGCCATTGCCAAAGCCAAGCAGAACGTGGAGCGAGACTACTCGGTGGTTGGTAGCTGGGAGGATGTGAATGTGACTTTAACAGTCCTCGAGCACTATATACCCCGTTTCTTCAAGGGTGTCACTGATCTGTACTATGGTAATATCTGCACAAAATTTATGTAATTGGGGTTCTCTAAAGATTCAAGCATTTGTCTGCAGAACCCGAAGTAGGTCCGGCCTTCAAGAAAATGAATACAAACCATTGGAAGCCAAAGATTAGCGAACGCATCAAAAGGATAATGAGGGCGAACTTCACCCAGGAGTACGATTTCTATCACTTTATCAAGCAGCGCTTGTATAGACAATATTTTGCAATAAAAAAGGACTTGGAACTGTAACCAATGACGAATTTATTGAACTTTTGCTTCCATTAACTTTATGCTCCGTAACCATGTAATTAGTTGTTTTGACTGCATTTAGATATCATTTTTTATGGGTTGATTTTTTGTTTGTCTGGTCTAAGGAAGTCGACTCATTTTTATCCTCACTTTCAAGCTGGATTACTTGGACGCTGCCCAATTGAATAATACGCCAAAGGCCGAGAGAGATTTCATATTCTACAATCGATTGGAGAAGACTGGTAGTCAGTCGATGACACGTCTCATTAAGAATCTGGGCGATCGTAATGGATTCGAGACATTCCGAAATATAATTCGACCCGCTAGGGCGTTGACAGATAACAAGGAAGAGGAGCAGGATTTGGTAGATCAGATGAGTGAGCTCCCAGAGCCAGGAGTGTATGTGGAGCACGCCAACTACGTCAACTTCACGGAACACGACATGCCCCGGCCCATCTACATCAACATGGTGCGCGATCCCATCCAGAAGGTGATCAGTGCCTATTATTACCAGAGGCACCCTCTAATCTTCGCTCAGAGCCTGATGAGGAATCCCAAGAAGAGAATGGAATCAAAACAATATTTCGATACCAACTTCAATGACTGTGTAAGGAACAGGATTCCGCCTTATTGTGTTTTTGACTCCCATAATCCCTTCAACGGCGATTGGCGTCGGTTTTCGCTTCATCTTTGCGGCAATAGAGAAATTTGCACGTAGGTTCTCCCATAGGTTCTGATTAGGTCTAAGATTAAAGGTTTATTTACATCTTCTATCAGACATTTCAACTCGGAGACCACTACACAAATAGCCAAGATGAATGTCGAGCGGGAGTACGCGGTTGTTGGCAGTTGGGAGGACACCAACGTTACTTTGGCTGTCCTGGAAGCCTATATACCCCGATTTTTTACCAATGCCAGAAAGGTCTACTATAGTAGGTTTCTCTAATGATTACTGTTAATATTTAGGCTACAATTAAATCCCATTCCCTTTAGATAAAACCGATAAGTTCAGTATAAACAATGTGTCGCACGACAAACATCTGGACGAGGATGTGGAATCGTACCTGAGGAGCAGTTTCAGATTCGAGATTGAGCTGTATCAGTTCATCAAGCAGCGTCTCTACAAGCAGTACATTGCCGTCCACAAAGACGAATTTCCATCTCAATAAATTAATTGAAATATACCAAATATATGTAGAAAATACAGGAAATGCAACATTTGATCTTACACCTAAAACCTCAACTTGAGTTTCAACTTTTTCCCCTATTTTCGCTACTAATCATTGGGATATATAGTATCTTGCTTGAAATCACTCTCCACTGCACTGCCAAATATAGAACTCGTTTCAAGGACACACCGATCCTTTGCAGATCCTCCAGTTAAGTCCCGAAAAATTAAACAACACACCCAAGGCGGAGATTGACGTTTTGTTCTTCAATCGGGTTCCCAAAACCGGAAGCATGCAACTCATTGAACTGATGAGGCAACTAGGAAAAGTCCACAACTACGATGTGGAGAAGGATCCTCAGAACGGAGGAGTCCTGCCCATCCTTGAGCCGGCTGAGGAAAGTGACATAATTGAAAACATTGCCAGCCTCGAGGACGGGTCAGCATTCGCCAGTCACGTCAACTTCCTTAACTTTACCAAACACGATCAGCCCAGACCCATTTACATCAACATGGTGCGGGATCCCGTCGAGCGGGTGATCAGTTGGTATTACTACATTCGGGCGCCGTGGGTCTTTGTGCCGGGAAGGAGGCGCAATAACCGGGAAATGCCCAATCCAAAGTGGGTCAACACCGAGTTCGATCAGTGTGTCTTGAGTGGCGAAAAAGTGTGCACCTACATCGAGAATTCGTTGCTGGAGCACGTGGGCGATCATCGCCGTCAGACCTTGTTCTTTTGTGGCCATAACGAGGCCAAATGCACGTGAGTTGGCCAGCTAGAATTTCCTCCTTTTCTCTGTTAGTCACCTCTTGACCATACTCTATAGACCCTTCAATGGCCGCTTGCCCCTGCAAATAGCCAAAATGAATGTGGAACGGGAGTACTCCGTGGTGGGCACTTGGGAGCACACTAACGAGACCCTGGCCGTTCTCGAGGCCTATGTCCCCCGGTATTTTGCAGATGCCTCTAAAATGTACTACTGTAAGTTTTTTCTTTGGGCTGCGGTGGTGTTGAATATTTATGGTTTATTATCGCAATAACTTACAGCGGGTCTGCACTCGGATGTCCAGAATTCTAATCCCATGAAGCCGCACATTCCTCAGAATATAATCGATATGGTTCGCCGGAACTTCACCCGTGAAATCGAATTCTATCAATTTTGTCGCCAACATTTGCATAAACAGTATATAGCCATTAAGTTGAATGAACTAAAGAAAGTGGACAAGTCGTTGGCCATGATGAATGAGGCCAATGAAATGGCCATTAGGGACTAGTTTATTAAGTTAGAGAAAGTTAATAAATACATTTTACAGAACCTTTAATGGATACTTCTAGGATATGTTTCTCTTATTTCCTATTAACCAAAACCAGGCTTAAGATTTAAGACTCGAGATATAAATGCTTTTAACTGGAAAAGTCTGAAACTAAAGGCTAATAAACATCGTCTTTACTACCTTCTTGACTTTCCCAAGTATCTTCGATTTATTTTCGCAAAACTCTTCTATCGCTTACACTTTTCAAAGGATATTGAGAATCGGTTGCTTATTAACATCGGCAAGTTAAGACTAAGTTCTAAAGGAAGTTCTGCATCTCTAGCTGAAGAACCTCAATGCCAACCGTCTGAATAATACCAAAGACGCCGATATCGAGGTTCTGTTCTTCAATAGGGCCGCCAAAGTCGGAAGTGAATCAATGCTGGAGCTTTTCATGGCCCTGGAGCAATACAACGATGATCTGACCCTAGAAAGATCGGGTCTTCACACTAAAACTTACCGCCAAATGGACAAAAAACAAAGGCGCCAGTCAGCTGAGTATGTGGCGGATCTGGAAGAGGGCACTATGTACATAGAGCACATAAACTGGCTGGATTTCGACGAGTTCGACTTGCCCAAGCCCATTTACATTAATCTGGTTCGCGACCCAGTCGAGAGGGTCATCAGTTGGTTCTTCTATGCGAGAAGTTCCTACAAGAACGCCATCGAGTACAGGAAGAAGCCCGACCAGAAGATAAGGCCCGAATCGTGGTATAAGAAAAACTTCAACGAATGTGTGCGGAGTGGAGATCCCGAGTGCCAATATGTGCCTCATACCTTTAAAGATCCTGTTGCCAATTTCAAGAGGCAGTCCTTGTTCTATTGTGGTCATCATGATGATTGCATGTAAGTAGAAGTAAGTCAAGGCTAATAGGGTTGTTTTACAAAAAAGCCATCTTCTAGACCCTTTAATTCCCCAACTGCCGTGCAAATGGCCAAGGAGCACGTGGAAAGGGATTACGCAGTGGTGGGCAGTTGGGAAGATACCAACGTAACTCTCACGGTGTTAGAGCGTTATATTCCGCGATTCTTTCGCGGTGCCAAGCTGATGTATGAAAGTAGGTTCTTACTAATCCCGAAAATCCCCTAAAATGGCATTAACACTTTGTTACCCCCCATCTATAGTGCACAATAACAAGATCACCAATCGCAACAAGAACAAACGCAAGCCGTATATTGAACCCGAGGTCAAGGATATGATTCGCAAGAATTTCACAAACGAATATGATTTCTATTACTTTTGCAAGCAGCGTTTGTACAAACAGTATCTGGCCCTCAATCTGAAGGAGCTGGAGAAGCATGGTCTTTTAAATTAGTCGGCTATAGGCCGAAGTCTAGAGATTATTCAGTGATATATGTAACCTTTGCGAACAAAATTTCTTATACAAATAAACAGTAGTCAGTAAAGCAGTAGAGTAAACCCCACACTCTTTGTACACGTCGAACCCCATCCTTGTGTCTCATCGTTTGTTGTGTCACATGGTGTTGCTGTTTCTAAAACCCTCTCCCCATCCCAAAATAGTTAGGTGCCCTGACTCCTCGCCAGCTAAACAACACAGTCAAGTCGGAAATGGATCGTCTGTTCTTCACAAGATGCGCCAAAGTCGGCAGCGAATCCCTCATGGAACTCATGGAGCATCTTCAGAACATCAACAACTTTCGAGTGGACAAAGCCGGAGTCCAGAAGAAGTCCTCGAAGAGGCAACTAGAACCCCAAGCTCAGGCCGACTTGGCTGGCTACATTTATAATTCTGATGAAGGATCGGTTTACGTGGAGCACACTCCCTGGGTCGATTTCAACGCATTCAACCTGCCCAAGCCGATCTTCATCAACTTGGTGCGAGATCCCGTCGAGCGCATGATCAGCTGGTACTATTATGTCCGGAACTCCTACAGGAATGCCATATACTATCGCCATAACCCCTTGGCTCCGATCAAGCCCGTCGCCTGGTTCAAAAAGAGTTACAACCAGTGCGTCAGAAACGGAGATCCCGAATGCCAATACATTCCTTTGTCGGTTCGCGATAAAGTTCCCAACTTTAAGAGGCAAACCATTTTCTTCTGTGGAAACGATCCGGATTGTTTGTGAGTTTTGGGGGCTAAGTGTTATTTTAGGCTTGGAACCCACTACCTTTAATCCTCTTTCAGACCCTTTGATTCCCCACTGGCCGCGCAAATGGCCAAACGTAGGGTTGAGAAGGAATATGCAGTTGTGGGAACTTGGGAGGAAACCAATATCACCCTCACTGTCTTAGAGCACTACGTACCGCGTTATTTTTCACGTGCCAAGACCATTTTTCACAGTAAGAGAGTTGGTAGTTCCCCTTTATAGATCACTCACCTGTTATCCTGTTTGTAGTGTACCAAAAGAGCTTAGCGAATCGAAACCGAAACAATCGGAAGCCCCAGGTGGACGACGATGTCAGGGCCATGGTCAGACGCAATCTGACCCATGAATACGACTTTTACTATTTCTGCAAGCAGCGTCTGTATAAGCAGTACATAGCCCTTAAGCGGAATGAATTGGAACTATTTTATAACCCTTAACCCACTAAGACTGACCTTCTTTCGATCCTGTTTAAGTTGTTTAGTAGTTGAATAATAAAGTACTCCGTATATATAGTAACTAACCTGTAGAGATTGTAGAGAAAGGAAAATATTGGCTAAGAGTATAACTTTTTGAAAGCAGCTCGCCTCGTTGAGCAGTCGTGCATTAAATAATACCCGTCATTCCCGACTGGAGGTGGTTTTCTTCAATCGTGGAGCCAAAGTGGGAAGCGAGGCCTTGATGCAGCTAACCCAGACAATGGCTCCTTTCAACAACATGACGGTGGTGACCAAAGGACCCCTCAATATAAATTCCCGTACTAGAGCACCCCGTGAGCGAATGATCCAGGCAATTTGGGTGAACGACCTGGATCCCGGCACCATTTATATCGAGCATTGTAATTGGCTGGACTTCCGGAGATACCAACTAAAAATGCCGATTTATATCAACCTAGTTCGGGATCCTGTGGAACGGATGGTCAGTTGGTTCTACTATGTCCGGAGTAGCTACCGAAATGCCATATTTTTCCGGAGGTTTCCCAATGCCACCATCAAATCGGAGAGTTGGTTCAAGAAAAACTATAATGATTGTGTTCGCAGCGGCGATCCAGAGTGTCAGTATATACCGGGAAGTGTTATTGAAGCGGAGGGTAATTATAAAAGACAAACTCTATTTTTCTGCGGCCACAATAGGGAATGTTTGTAAGTAGTGTTTGAAATGGAATTAAAGAATCAAAACCCTCTAGAGGAGAGTACTTTTCAGACCCTTTGACTCCCATCGAGCCATTCAGTTGGCCAAAATAAACGTGGAACGCGACTATGCTGTTGTAGGAACTTGGGAGGAAACCAACATAACCCTAGCGGTTCTTGAGGCTTATATTCCTCGATTTTTCAAGGGAGCAAGGCCAATCTTTGAAAGTAGGTAGCAAATGGTTTAATTTTTAGCCAAACTTGAACACTTTCGGGTGGCTTAGTAAGGGGATACCTGAGCTATATCCAAGTTACACTACAAACATTAAGTGTTTCACCATCTTGTGCTTTTGTGAACTTTTTTGGAACTATGGAATGTAAACCCACAAAACCCCTCACTTCTTAGCTAGGACGGATTACCGTAATGAATTTAAATAACACCCGATTTGCCCGCTTGGAAGTGGTGGTATTCAACCGACCCACTCGGGTACAAAGTGAAGAAATGTTGCCACTTTTCCGCCACCTGGCCGCCATGAATGACATCAATGTTGTGCTCAATGGACCCATCAGAACGATGAACAGAACACGAACCGAACAAGAGCAAGTTGTTGAAATAGATTGGACCAGTGAAATGGAGAAAGGATCCATCTACATGGCCCACTCCAATTGGCTGGATTTCAAGGGCTTTGGATACAACAAACCCATCTACGCATCGCTAGTAAGGGACCCCATAGATCGTATGGTGGCGGACTATTACAAACGTCGATCCTGGACGAAGAGGATGATATACAGGAAAATGTATCCGGGACGAACTGAGAGACCCGAGAAGTGGTATAAACAGAGCTTCAACCAGTGTGTGAGAAGTGGCGATCCCGAGTGTCGGTATATCCAACATTCTGTGAAAGACTATATTGATGATTTCAAAAGGCAATCCCTTTACTTCTGTGGCAATGACCCTGATTGCTTGTAAGTACCTGCAGATCTTAATAAGATCTTGGAAATCATATATCCTTTATGTAGACCCTTCAATTCCCCTCATGCCATTCAAATGGCCAAGCAACGAGTGGAAAAGGAATACTCTGTGGTCGGCACTTGGGAGGAGAAAAACATAACTCTCACTGTCTTTGAGAAATATATACCCAAATACTTTAATCATGCTCGATTTTTGTACAAGTGTAGGTAGAACCCGAAAGTGTTCAAGTTTATTTAATTAGACATATTTAATTAGATATATATATTAAATGATATACATTCTTTCAGTGCACAGCCAAAGTATTCGTAATAGGAATCGCAATAATCGCAAGCCCCATATAGATCGAGATGTTAGGGAAATGGTGAGAAGGAACTTTACGAATGAATACGAGTTCTACTATTTCTGCAAACAGCGTCTATATAAGCAATATCTAGCCCTGCAACTAGAAAATAATCTTAAATAAAGATATATAACAGCTGTATTTATGACCAAAGGATTTTTACAAATGGTTCCTAATAAAAGTTTATAAACAAAATAATATAATGATTATGTTTTTATAGGGTCTATTGTTAATTATAAGAAAATCCCTATTCAGCCCTTTTTTTCTTTTCCCTAAAATGCAATGCAAATATCAAACACCAAGGATCTAAAGGTAAACAAATTAGAAATCATTATTATCCTAAGTCCAAATTAATTTTTAATAATTTATTATTATCACCATCACAGATGGCTTCTCTTAATGTCAGAGACTTGAACAACACTCGCAAGGCTCAAATGGAACTGGTGTTCTTCAATCGAGTCCCCAAGGTGGGAAGTCAAACCTTTATGGAGCTCCTTCGTCGTCTTTCGGAGCGAAACAACTTCCAGTTCCATCGGGATGCTGTGCAGAAAGTGGAAACCATAAGATTGGCAGAAGATCAGCAACAGGAAATGGCTGAGGTGATCAGTGAACTCCCAGAGCCGTCGGTTTTTATAAAGCACGTGTGCTTCACCAACTTTACGAAGTTCAACTTACCCAAGCCGATTTACCTGAATGTGGTGCGTGATCCCGTGGAGCGAGTGATCAGTTGGTTCTACTATGTCAGAGCTCCGTGGTACTTTGTGGAGCGTAAAGCTGCATTTCCGGATCTACCTCTGCCACATCCGGCCTGGCTGAAAAAGGACTTTGAGACTTGTGTACTGAGCGGTGATCAGGAGTGCACTTACACCCAAGGAGTCACCGTCGAGGGCATTGGCGATCATAGAAGGCAGAGCTTGTTTTTCTGTGGCCATGACTATGAATGCACGTAAGTTTATTAACAAAATATAAAGTTTTAAAAATTATATAGGTATTAATGACCCCAATTTCAGACCCTTTAACACTGTGGGTGCTTTGGAAAAAGCCAAGTTCGCTGTGGAGCAACAATATGCCGTTGTGGGAGTTCTGGAAGATCTGAATACTACACTGTCAGTGCTGGAAAAATATGTGCCCCGATTCTTTGAGGGTGTTAGAGATATATATGCAAGTAAGTTGATTACAGTCAAGGGAAATTCAATTGAAAAAGTGCAGCTCGGCTTGAATTGCTAGAATTTATTTCAATCAAATCCTAAACAGTCACTTGACTTTAATACAATGCTGCAACACAAACAATTGAAAGAGTTGAGAACTTGAAACTCCCCTAGGTTATAAACACATTCCCCATTACCCATAAAAAGTTATCTAACAATATCTTTATGTTTTTTCCCCCTATAGCCAGCGCCGAATACTTGACAAAGATCAATAAAAACAACTTCAAGCCGCCGGTCAGTGAGCATGTTAAGGATATAGTACGTCGCAACTTTACAAACGAGATCGAGTTCTATCAGTTCTGTCGCCAGAGACTCCACAAGCAATATCTGGCCGCCCATTTGCCGCAGCGCATTATTACAGATTCGGCACAACATTTACCCGCCCTCTTGGGCAATTAAATTGTAAATCGAGGAAACACACGAACAAATTGTAAAAAAACAAACAAGACATACAAAATCATACTCGAAACTGTAGTCAGCTAAGTTCCCCAATACGTTGTAGCGAATTAATTGTTTTCTCTTGTGTATATTTTCAAAGTGGTTATCAAAAATATGACAGATCCAGCTTATATTTATATTGATTAGTAAGTACTTAATGTTAGAATGACCTGAATTTGAATTGTGATGTCTTCAAGTGAACTGTTGAAATTTTTGTTTTAGTATTTTAGTTGTTTAAGAATTACGATAATACATTGTATAAACTAATAAATGAATATTTTAAGAAACCATTGATTTCCTTCATTGGCAGTGGAAGCAAAATGAAACAGAAACTTAATCTGAATAACTGATAAAATCAACGATTGTTTAACATAATATGGTATAACAGTGAAACGAAGCTATACCTAACGAGTACATACATAATGTCACTAAATGAAGTTTATTAAAAAATATATCAACGAAAAATCAAAGCCACAAGTTAGCATCTTTCTGTTTTTGTAACAAGAACTATCCTATAATCTGGGTCTGGATGATGTATCTTAAAGTAACTTATAGATCTTGCTGATAATTGTGGTTTCCAGGCATTGGTCGATTTTGCGCTTGTTCCTATGATTTAAAAGAACAATTATTAATATTATTTAAAGGCAAGTTAATTTGCAGCCTACCGTTTGTTTCCAAAGAAAGCAAAATCCTCATTTTGCATATTAAAGCCAGGTCCCGGTATTTTCCTTTGAACTTTTAGGATATTTTTCCCTTGAAAACCGTCGGATGGCACTTCGACAACTTTTCTAGGTTCCTGCAGATAAATAGCCATTGGATCACATTCAACGAGTTTTAATATGTTTTCGTCGTGCAAGTCCAGCCATTCCGGCGATTCTGATCGAATATTTAGTTTTTCTGGAGTCACTCTGGCAACCAATTCAGCGAAAATAGAATCCATAGCACAAATTAAAGGATGCTGGTACATTTCCACATGGAGTCGAAATCTGGCTTCAAACAAACGATAGATACGATGGTAGTCTTGATAACGATATTCAATACGTTGGCCGTCCGCTGAAATGCGTGCCTTCAGAAATACATCATCAAAATCCATTTCTTTGGAGCTAAGTAATTTCAGACGCTTGTTATCCCGCCTCAGGTAATCCCACTTATCCACATCCAGACCACAACGACTATTATGAACAATGTCGAAGATGTAGTTATGGCTCATCATGGGAAATGATAAAGAATCGCTGCAGCCGAGAATTAAAGCCTTTATTAGCTGCACTCCTCGTCCACTTCCATAGTCCCTTAAGGAGACCAGCTCCTCGCTACAAGCTTCCTCGAAAATTCGATCCACACAAACTAGTGCATTCTCCTCGTGCTGCAAAGTCGAAAAACCGATTATTGTAAAAAATTTTTTTGTAACGGAAACAACTTATAATTAAAGTTTATGACTATGGCGATTAAACTCTCCTAATTTTTTTTTAGTTCAATAAAACTGATGTCAGCAGAAATTACAGATAACAATAGCTTTAGTAACTGATAAAATGTTTGCAAAATTTCGCTATTTCTACTTTTATGTTAGAAATAAAAAGACACAACTGAGGGCAACTAATTTAGGGTTCTTAGGAAAGAACCCTAATTACAGGGTTTACATTTTTGTTTTTTTTTTATTAAAATTACACTTACATCAAATTCATGATCACAAAGACGTTCCCAAACATGTGACATTGGCCCATGGCCAATATCGTGAAGTAGAGCAGCTATTTCCACAGCTTGACGACACCATTGTGGTAGTTTTGGCTCATAGTGTGAGTTTCGTTCGATGGCTCTTAGGTGGTCCTGGGCACTCTTGTATGTTCTAACAAGAATCCGAATAGTAATATTGGATTGAAGAAATAAACAAGAAATATTAACCTACCCAAGGCAGTGATCGTAGCGCTTGTGATTAGCATTCTTGTTAAGGGACAATGGTATAAGGCCCAGTTGGTTAACCTTCTTCAAACGCTGGAACAATGGATGCTCCACTATTTCCTGTATATGACTAGGAAGTTCTATTACACCGTGCACTTCATCCTCGATGAGCATCTAAAAGATTTGTATAAATATTGAATATGCTTTATAAATATATTGTATTTGATGTATTTTCTCATGAAATTGTTAGCTTTGTATTATTTTATTTGTGTTTAAAAACTATACCTTACTAGATCAGTAAAACTTGTATTTTTTCATAAAGTACAAAGTATAAGTCTCCTTATCTACAAGATTGCACGATTAATGGTTTTGAAAAGTATATATATTTCTGTACATTTTTACAAAGAACAAAGAATAAGTCCTCTTATCCTAACGAATCTTATATGAAATGATACAAAATCTTTTCTTAAATGTTTTTTTTTTTTAAATAAATCTACTAGCATCCACAAAACCACAATTGAAATTCTTTTAATCTGCTCCCTCCGACGATCAAAGTAGAACTGAGGTCTTGATTTTTATTTTCCCTCCTGCTCGCAATGTGGACTCTTTCTGAAATACATTCCTCAGCAGATCTTACTGAATTTGAATTCAACATAAAATATATTTTAAAAATGTAAATATCAAAATAATTATTTAAGTTAGTTTGGATACCAAAAATACTATTTTTCTTTGATAAAAAGAACGTTTTTGTATTCAAAAATCACCCCCAAAGTGGTGTTTTCTTTTTAAGCTGTTCTATTTTAGATTCTTTGTGTATACCTAGTATTGCATAGTATTTAGTTTATTTGTTTACATTCATTTTTTAGTTATTAGGTTCATAAAATTAAAGTTTTTTTTAGAGTGTTTTGACTATACTTAAAAAACCAAGGCTAAACTAGTATTTTGTGTGTTTTTCATCGCACCTGTGTAACTGGGGCGACCGTTAATAGATATATATTTCAAGTTTTTGAATCAGCTGATTTATCAAAATCAGTTGGAGCCGTTCCCTTGGCAACCAAAAAGAACTTACAGCTTCGCGCGCATTTTCCGACGCTTTCTTTTGTTGGTGGTGGTGGATCAGCGGGAGCCTCGAGTTCGTTGAATCGGATGGGGGCCGTGGGGGCGGTTGAACCACTGCGCTCACCAACATTCTGAATGAATTGGTATTTTGATTCCTGTTCCTGGCTCTCAACAACACGCAACCAAAACACCACCGAATGCGCGAGGTCGACGTCTTGAATGGGTTGCTCCAATCGTTTGCGAATTTATTTATTACATCAGGAAATTTGTTGATAATCAAAATTAGCACACAATTACAAATTGGAAGGAGGACAGCTGTTTAAGAAGTGTGGCCAGCGAAGCTAAAAAAGTTTACCAAAAATATATTTTCTAGTATTTTTATTCATTTTAAAATAACGGTAATTTTAATGCAATATTGCTAAATATTGTTTTAAAAATGAAAGGAAAAACAGAGAAAATGTAAAAAATTTAGTAATTGGTTTAAATTTTTTTTTTGTCGATTTTAAATAATGTAGAAAGAGTAGAAAGCTATCGGTTATCGGAAAAATGTTTAGATTGCTTATCACAGTAATATTTTCCTAATTTAAAATAAACATATTTTATTTAAATTAATCTAAAATCATATATAATTGTTTATTTAAAATTTTTATATTATATTAGGCATTATTTAACCCCAAAAAGTATGCAGCAAACATGAAGCAATAAAAGCGACATCTACAGGGCGTATATAGAAGTAGGTTGTGACAAATGTAAATACAAATATTTTAATATTTGAAATAAAATATCTTAAGAATGTAGAGTTTAAAACGTTTAAAAAAATTCAGATAAATATAAGCTACGTAAGTTTAAAAAGGTTATATACATTTAATTTCGTTCTTTTAATATTTCAAAAAATTAATTGTAAATACAAACATAATAAGACTGTTTTAAAATGAATTTATTGAATATTTTCAATCAAAATTTAAAAAAAAAGAGATTGTTACCTTATAATCAAAAATGATATCTTATCACTAAAATCTTATTAATTAGATTAAATTCACTAAAATTAGCCGGGAAATAGGCAAACTAGAGCAATAAAGGTTATCAAATGGCACTTAGATGACTTCATAGATCAAGTGACTAATTAGACACCCGAATCTTAAAATTAAATTACATCTAATTTAATGTCATGTGATGAACAAAGCCGATTTAAAACAAATAGCAGATGGGCCCGGGGGTTCCAGTATCATTTTCCGGGCAGGAGAAGGGAAGTGGAGAAGGTTGGCACGTGGAAATTGTTTTTGCCGAGAGCGCCGACGCATTGAAATGAAAGCGAAAGTTTTTCCGCTGACCCACAGCTGAGAAAAGAGCGTATCTCGGTCAAAGAGAGTGTATCTTTGTATCTCATACTCTCCGGAACGCAAGTTCCATTAAAATGCAATTGCAATTTATGCATCTTCTCTGTAAAGTCAACGCACTTTAAATACAACACAGACTACACTACAAACGATACTACAAGATAAAATTGTATATGTATCTCGAGATGTAAATGTAGAATCAGATACACAGACGGAACTGTGCAAAAAGAGGATTAATTGAATAATGAAAGAAAAAAACAAACATCGAAGCAAACAATTTAGAAATGCAAATATAAACAAAAAACAGAAATTTAAAAAAAAGCCGGCTCCACACCTGAGTGGAGCGATAAAGAGAACTATTTAGAAATGAGAGAAAAATGGGAGAGAAATTTTAAAAGCAAACAATTGACGTACTGTGGTTTAAATATTAAAAAAATTATAATAATATACATTTTTAATATTACATTTAAGTTGGTGTAACACTTTAAAAAATTATTATACATTTATCCTTTAATTAATTTATTTTATAAATATTTAAACGAAATAATTAACCCACTGTTCTCCACTTGAGCAATTTATACTTGTTTGGCTCTCTCATCGTGACATTTCGAACCCCAACCACCCAAAAAGCAACCCACTAAGCGTGCCACCCGTGAGATTCGAGATACGGGAGTCGCACTGGGAATGAGAGCGAAAGTGAGAAGCGTCGGCCTGGCAGACAAGTTGCAACTTTTAGCGAAATCCGTCTCAGTTGCCACACGACAGGACGGCCAAACGGGCGAGCCACAGCAGAAGAGATACACGGCCTACAGTGGCGGATGGCGAACGTATCCACAAGATACACGGCTAGGCAAATTAACAATAATTAAGGCACTGCGTGACAGGTCTCTCTACCCCCCTAGCCCTCCCCTTTCTCACTCTCACCTTCTGGCTCTGATTTGGTGAAAATGAAATAAGAAATAAAATAAAAATAATAATATACGAAAACGAAATAATTCTCGAATCGAGTCGAAATCTTTGTATCTGTGTATCGGAGAACTGAAAAAGAGGCCGCGCGCTCTCGCAAATGTATCTCAGCCGGCAGTGGGCGAAAGACGCAACTGCTGCGACCTTGCAATGCCCTTGAATGACACTCTTATTGCGACCAAGTCGCCAACGTTGCCACTACAACGGGCGCTGAAACGGGCCACGGCTGCCACTCAGCGCTGGCAGAATAAAGGACTAAAATAATATTTAAAAATATTGCAAAAATTAAATATAAATAAAAAATAGATAAATAAAGCCCAAAAAGCTAAATAAACTGCTCCAAATTATAGTGAAAATGTTATTGGAGTCAGAGTAGTTTTCGCGAGAGTGAGAAAAAGTGAGGGTAGCGAAGACACAAAATAATAATATAGAAAAGCCGAAGAACCCCCCAGGCGGTTTTTCCTTGACAGCTCCTAATCTCAAGCCTTAACCCAAATCAAAAAACGTGTGTGAGAAATTCACTTTTATTTTAAAAATAATATTTATAAATTTTCAAATAAAACCTATTTGAAATTCAAGCAAAAAGAAAGTGTTATCTAACTGGCGCCCTCTGGCGGCGAGTGTATGCGTGCGGGCCTGTATATGTATGTATGTGTGTGGCCGAATAGAAAGTGAAAGTTCTCGACTGCGAATCCTGCGGTAACCTTTACCCCACATTGGGTCACTTCCTTGAGAGCGGACTTCTACATAAACGACATCAGGGCACGCGAAAGGCAATAAGGCCAAAAGCATATATCCAGACTATATATACAACGAATCGGTATATGTAGGCGATATTTATGCGACAAGTTCTGACAACTAATTCTTTTTATCGCCACGCGGAGGAATACGCTGGCAAAGGCCGAAACGGGAACGCCTTGGAATAATAATAAAACATCAGGTTGGTAATCATAATTGTTGCAACATATCCTATACATAAGGTAGAATCATAATTAAGTGCGTGTTTCATATAGGCATCGCGTGTTTTATTTTACTTACCAATTACATACTTTCAACTGATGCTGCAATTAGCATGTGCGTGTATCCGTCAGATACGTTTGACATTGATTTTGCCATTTAAAGTCAAACAATACCCATCGAAGAGAGGAATTTACCTTAAATTCATTACTTGTGGAAGCAGTAAATATATATGTTTAAGAAAATAAATCATATAGGTTTTTTTCTTTTATATATTTACTTAGTACAGAGCTGGTTATGAAATGTTTATTTATATAAATATTGGGGATTTCTGGTATACATTCATAATTTATATAACGAAAATGGTGAAATAATGAACATAGAGTTATTATTTTCATAAATATGACATATATTTTTAATAAAGGATATCTTCCTTATTAAAAGCATATTTTAATTAAAATGATACCACTCATTTTAGAAATATTTACCTATCCAATCAATTACTTGAAACGAAGAAAAGGATCTTGAAATGTCCTCTGCCTCTGAAATCAATATCCAGGTTTCATCACATCCTTCTCAACCTCACATCCTTCTTTTCTAAGAACCACAATCAAAACAAAACAATCCAAATATCGTTATCACCACAATCAAAACAAACCAAGAAACCTAGAATAGCCTTTGCCCAAAACAATAACCATAAAAAAGGGAAATGGAAAGCGAAAGCCAGTTGAAAGCGAGAGTATCTTTCCACTCGAGTATCTGTGTATCTGTAACTTAGTTTTCAGAACAGCGCAAGCGTTTTTCCAGTTTTTTTTTGTTGTTCACGGTGCTTGGCTTTGTTTGCTTTTGACATTTCGTTAGGTAGCAATGTCATACAAATATAAATAAAAAAAAAACCACGCGCTGTCCAAAAAGCAAAAAAAAAAAAAAGAATATGGAAACCACCCACATCTAGGCACACGCACCCACACTCACGCAAAGTATCTGTTAGATACGTAGAATTACTGAAAGCAAATTAGCGCTTCAATCGAGTCTCGTGTAAGCCACTTGAATTTATATTGATTGCGATGGGTCTCCTATTCAAATCGATTCAAAATCCAGTACAGAAGCCCGGGAATTCAAGCTAATATACCATAAAGAATATACATTATTAATTTAGGTTTATTTATAAAAACCGAATACCAGTCAGCCAGTCAGCTGTTGTGGTTTGTTGATGGCTAGAACACGTATCTATAGTTCGAATCGTGGGCGGCACTTGCCGGTCTAAAGGAAATATATTTGGAATATAATTTATGCTAATGATATATGCGACACAGAATGACAGCCAAAAATTATATTTATTTAGTGATCCATAAGCTGCGAAATTTAAGTTTCAAAGTTTATTAGAAAGGCTCTTTTTTACTAAAATATAAATAGTCCTCCACTTCTTGGGGGTATTACTAGTTTATTAGGTATATACTAGGTATATTTTGTGAAATTTTTGTTTAACAAGGTCCCTATCTTATCGCCCCTCTTCACATAAATAATTTCTTAATTAATTGCTTTTTCAAATATTTATAATTCCTAATGTTTTCTATTTGCTTCGTAGGGCAGTTCAATGATCCGCTTAGTAATCTTATCACCTACTGACACCCATCAGTTGTGTACTTCCAAATCACAATTACAAACTGTTCCGGCGCTAAATCCAAAATACCAACAAATATGTTACCTAATCGGGGGAAAAAAACCGTTAGCTGATTAGGCCAAGTTGGCATAAAAGACCACAATCACAGCGGGCGGTCCCGGATAAAGCACATCGGGCTTAAATGACAGTAAATATGTGTATATTTGAACTGATAGTTTATCTGCCTTTTACAAAAGGTTAATATTACTAGCCATATTTTTAAAGAATTTATAAATATATTGAAAAAACCCTTAACCTTGTGAAGTGGTATAGAATAAATGGTAAAGAATATTTTATAAGCCAATGGGGTAATTCATTGCAAAAACTTTAACCTATTTACCTAGTGCAAAATATTTTCTATTAAATTAAATTTTTGATAAATTCAAATATTCGTATTCTTAAATTGAAAGAAAATAATTTCAAATGATCCTTTAGTCGGCATTACCTAAGGGCATTTAGCAGTGCAGTTAGCTATGATTAAAAATCAGACAGACATCCGAGGCTGCAACGTCACTGATCACGAGAATCTTTCTATAGCGGCGACTGCCTGCCAGAATCAGTTACCTTTTGGGATGCACTGCGACTGCAGATACCAAGACACAGATACCTGAATACAGATGCATTTAACAGATACAGATAGGGATACAGATACAAGTGTAAGAGGAGGCGGATGCGGATGCGGGGTGAGTGCAATCAGCGTGAGGGCAGTGTTTGGCTGCGATTTGCGATTTCGCTCCGCTTTCGATTCGATCCCATTCCCATTCCCCAGTCCCATTTCCCATCCTCATCGCATCCCAGCCCATCGGATCCGATTTTGCCTTATCAATCAGAGTGGATTCGCTTTGCTGAATGCCAAAAACACAACAAAAAGATCGTTTGGTAGTCAGTGCATGCCCGACACCGTGACGCTGCAGACGTGGTGCAGTTCGAGTTTTTCGGAGTGGTTTTCCGGAGTCAGTCTCCGGTGGTGTGTATTCTCCCAATGTTCGACGCATTGCTCTAACTGGTGATATCTAAATTCAATTTAAATATAAATATATGTTTAATTGAATAAAAAAATAAGTAAAGCGCCGCAGAAAGTAATCAATCGGTTATATCATCCACAGAGTGTAAGTGAAATATTTCACGGAATGTGCAATTGCGGGACGAGAAACGTTTTGCGGTTCGCGGGTCAATTCAGATTTCTATAAATAAAATTGCAAATTCGTTATCAGAATTCATAATCGAGACGCCGCCGCAGCATGATTAAGTACTTCACCCGCTGAACCACCCAACCATCCACCAACCCACCCACCACCCATCGCCCACTGCCCAATATCATGTGTAGTTCAGGTGATAAGCCAGCGACCGGCATTTTTTTTCTAGTCCGACTCGTAGGCCTAGAAACAACTAATCGAACCTTTTAAACTGTGTGAAAAACTAATGGCGCATCTATAACTAGACCAGTGACTAACTAATTGGCTTGAGAAGTGTAACTATGAGATGCAGCTGATAAGATACTCGGACTCGGGATGTCTGTCTAAACAATCATTTGCAAAGCTGGCAAAAGGTGTAAAAGGTGTAATCTGGGGAAGACTTGCAATTTTGTATACTGAAAACATCAACTACTTTATACGAACTAAATTTTTTTAGAGTGACTTGAATACAAATGAAGTGAATTAATAACCAGAAGCTGAACCAAGACCTGATAAACAAAGTTATTTACTATATATAGTATTTTGAAAATTTCCCATAAAACACACCTTGACTTCATTTTAAAGAGCCCAGCACTTAGAAAAGTGAACCAATCAAGCATAATTCAGAGTTCTTTTTTATTGCGTGAGTCGTTAGAGTGTCCACTTTAATATCAATTCTGCACATTTCCCCCAATTTAATTCAATTAAGCGACTTTATGGGTGTCGTCTTGTCACTGAATGCGTGTGGCTTACATACGGTGAGACGCATTCTTTAAGAAAGTGTATCTTCAAGATACGCAGTTACCGTCAAAACAATGAAACAAGTGGGCGAATAGAAAATCTCAGAAACGGAAATGTTACTTTGGCCGTAAAATAGAAGTCAAAGACATATGTTCTCTCAGATTTATTAATAGATTTCTTCTCGTTTTATTTATTTTTATTTTGAATTTTCTGTATTATAAATATTTTATTTATAAAATGTGAGCTTCAGCGACTGCATTAGTTGATATTATTTATAAAGAAAATATCTTAGATATTTTCCGATGATCTGATCCCTAATTTGGCAATTAATTAAGATAAAGAGATTTTAAATTTAATTCAAAAATACATATTTTCTTGAAGACCTTTTTCCACATGTGCATATTTCGGTTTGTAATCTTTCTCTTGACCCAACGTCATCGACTACCAAAACGCATTTAGCCACTTGGCCAAAAGCCAAAGAAATTTTAATTTGTATATAGGGAAAAGAATAAAAAAAACTTAAAGGTATTAAACCACAAGGGATGTCTATGAATCATGAAATATCTGCCATAAGTGGCATCACCTCATGTGCAGTGGGATGTCTATATTGCATATATTGGTATAAACATGCATTCGTTTAATTTTTGAGGAAATTTCAAAGAGATCGGCATTTTGACCTCCTTAATCGATCGATTGTCGGACGATCGTTTATTTATTTAAGACTTTGTCGACGCCATTTAGCCAGGCATGAAAGAATAAAATTCGAATCATTTTTTTACTCATTTTACTGCTTAATTAAATTTCCTATGCATGCTGCCAAATATAAAAAGTAAAATACATAACAACCGAGAGAGACACAAATTCAAAATAGACAAAAAAAAGAAAAAAAGAAATGCCGCTGAAAGTTCAAGGCCAATTGACTTTGTGTCTCCTCTCGATTGGCGCATCTAATTTTGAAAATAAAAACTCTGATGTCTTAATTGGGCGGAACTTCCTCACACTTTCCTATCTAATCGTTATCTCTCGCTCTATTAAGGGGCGTGGCGTGGCTTGGGCTTGCACCTGATCAAAAATCAAAGGTAATGCACGTGCAATGATCTCGGAATAAAAACAAAAATAAAAACATTTGCCAAAAGAAAAACACAGAGGTGTTAACAATCTGTTTTTGTCACTTGACTTAAAAAAATATATACATTTTTTTAAATTTGTATTATCGGGGTAACTATTAAAATTTAAATGGCAGTTAACCAAAACAAATTGAAAAACGACGCCATGAATATTTTAAGAAAAATGAGATATGCCTCGAAGATCATAAAAAATGTATATATTTATAAGTATATAAGCTCACGCTCGGATATTTTCCCAGCTGTTTCCAAATGCCAATGAAAGAGAAAGCTAAAGTGATGAAAAAAGAAACATTTCGAGTGAATTTATTTGTTTACTTAAAATTTGTTCATCGCATTTCAATATATCACTCACGTCATATATTCGAATGGTACTATATTTGCAGATATTCCGCAATTCCGTTGCAGCAAGCCCGACGTGGTGTGGTGACGTGACGTAAATGAACGATCCCGGAGATATACCACTGACCCATACAAGTACCCCGGACAGCAGGCCGCCCTGCAGCATTATATCCATTATACCAACCATAGGCATGTCCTCATGCCGCGGAAGGGCCGAGGCATTCGCAAGGAGTCTGTCCTCCAAGTTGCGCACCTTGGGATCACAGGTGAGGATATTTAAAATGCAAATTCATTTTATGTTGCCTACTTTGAGGGTTTAGAAAGGATATACTTTGGAGAAAAAAGAAAATATTCAATATACTAATGTGATTAGTATTATATTAAGGATTAGTATTATATTTAGCTGCTTGCACTCTAGCGTAAAGAAATGGTGTATTATAATATTTAGGTGGCATTTTTGAAGTATTCCTCCTTGCCAACGCTATCAGGCTTAATGCCACGACCCCCGGGGCGCCAGTTGACGGGGCAAAGTTCCCCGAATTCGTCTGAGAACTGGAAGGCCTGAACCAGACGAAGTGCTTCATCCACACTGCGACCCACGCCCATGTCATTTACGGTGATTTGACGAACTCGTCCCTCCCGATCAATAATAAACAGAGCACGCATTGCCAGTCCCGTGCTTTCATCCAATACTCCATAGTCCCGGGCTATCTTCATGCTCTTGTCGGCCAGTAGTGGAATGTCCATTTCCCCCAGACCCCCTACCTTCCGGGGAGTATTCATCCAGGCGCAATGGACAAAGTGACTGTCCGTCGAACAGGCCAGTACCTCGCAGCCAATGTTCCTGAATTCCTGGGCCCGATCACTGAAGGACTGCAACTCCGTCGGGCAGACAAACGAAAAATCCGCCGGATAGAAAACCAGAAGCACGTATCTTCCGCGCAAATCCGTGAGTGACAAGTTTCGGAAACCTCCGGCAATCACCGCCTGAGTGTTGAAGTCCGGGGCCACTTGATTCAAGTTTAACATACGCATCTTTCACGGTTTTTTTTAAATTCACTTCAATGGAGTTATGTATTAATATATGTTTCTAAAGGTGACGACTTGAAGTGATACTTTATTACAAAGTCAAAATTATATAGGGTCAAATTGAAAACTATATCAAAGGCTCCTTAGGTTAAGAAAACGGGCTATTTTAGCCTGATTTTATTTTATTTCAAACAATAACATAGTAGGCTTTGGAATTATTTAGGCCCCAAGTTTTTGGTGGATTTTCTTCTAGATTCTTGAAATTAGTTCAGCTCCAACCAACAACCGGAGCGGTTCTCACTTTATTCGAATTTTTATTTTATTTATTTTATTTTATTTTATTTGAATTTGTTTAATAATTTATTACTTTAATTGAATTGGTGCCTCGTTTATAAACGGTATAAGGAAGAAGGACCATGTAGGTAGTGATTTTCCTTTTACATAATATGTGACCTTTTATTTTATTTATTTTATTTTATTTGAATTTGTTTAATAATTTATTAATTTAATTGAATTGGTGCCTTATTTATAAAAGGTATGAGAATGGAGGACTATGTTGATACTGAAGCACCATCTTGGAACTGATTTTTCTTTTACAAAATATTATTTTTACCTTTTTTTTATTTTTATGCATTATGGGCTCTTAGATCCTTATAATAAAGCTATATCAGTATTATTATAATGATAAGTATAGCTCTATACTATGGAGTCAACAGATATTTAAGATATACTTCAGGGAAATGCTCCCTTTTTTTTAATAGAATGAAAAATTTACCAAAAGTCTGATTTAATCAATTTAATTATATATTTTTATTTATTTTTAATATTTTATTTTACTTTGGGTCTAATTTGTGATCCTAGACGGACTACCATTGCTGATCAATGAATTAAGCGAACGAGCCTTACATATTTTTATTCATTTAATATAAATATTTTGTTTGTGTGTTTGAAAAAGTCTAAGGGGAAAGTCTTTTCTGATTGAGTTATTCACCAAACTAATTCACGGGTTTTTCTTTTTCGCATTTTTAGACAAACGAAGAGGGCGAGGGCAATGCTGAGGATGAGCCCATCATCAATGGCACAAACACAAACACCTGGGTAAACTCGCACGACTCTGAGCAGACCGTCACGGACCTGCAGCCCCTGCGGCACGAGTCGGACTCCTTTTTCGACTTCGACTGCGAACTGGAGTCGCCCGGCAGTCCTGTGGACGAGTGCGAGTACCTGCGCCTGATCGAAACCGCCTCGAATACGCCTCACAACTCCACGGCGGAATCTGGCTACGCCTGCGCCTCGGTGGCCAGCAGTCACAGCAGCAGCACCGATGGTCCTTACTTCGATGCCTCGGCCTCGGGATCTGCCACAGTCACAGTAACAGCTACAGCTACCGCCACCCAGGCTGCCCAGGACCAAAAGCTGCCAGCCTCGGAGGTGAAGGACTACGTAAACAGCTTGCAGCTCAATGGCAATCATGAGCTGGAAAATGGGGTAGAGGAGCTGTCATCCAAAAAGCATGAGGTGCTGGATGAAGATGAGTCCTTCTTGCAGGCCCAAATCCTCAGTGAACTACAGAAACAGAGCAATAGTGTGAGAGTCGAGGAGGAAAAGCTAACCAATGGTCATCTGGAAGATGAACTCCAAGAGCAGGCCGTCGTAGAAGCGGAAGATAAATCCCAGACAGAAGTCGCAAACACAAAGGAAAATGCACCTGACAGGACACAAGAAGAATTGCCAACAAATGAAACAAGCTCCGAAGAAAAAGCTCTTCAAGAAATCACATCATCCATCCCACAAGATAGGATTCCCACTGAGGGTGAACCTACCCCTAAAGAAGAGGATGTCGCATCGGCCGGTGATACAGTCGATACCATCGTCCTGGAGGACACCTCCAATGACGTTGAACTCTCTCCTGACAGCGGGGTGGACGAAACTGACAAATCAGCCAGCAATCTCACCGTGAATGTGGAACTGGCCCATATCGAACAGGCCAAACAGGATGCTGCGGAGGCGGTGGAGAAGAGGGGAGGCCACAGTCATGGCATCGACACCACCGACGACGAAGACGATTGCCGACCTCAGAGGATCAGGCGTTGCTCTTCCCTCAAAACCGGAAAGACACCTCCAGGCACTCCCGGCCGCAAGAAGATAGTGCGTTTTGCCGATGTCCTCGGCTTGGATCTGGCGGATGTGAAGACCTTCCTGGACGAAATACCAACCATACCCAAGTCGGCGTTCGAGGATCTGGAGATCCTGGAATCCGAACCGCCTCTGCAACTGGGTCCCAAGTCCGATAAGCTGCTGATGCCACTTTTCCAGCAACCCGGCGGCCTGCCCACATTCCTTGATGCGGTCAGGGAGAAGCAGGTGTCGCTGGAGAATGCCGCCGTAACGGATAATATCAACCAGACGATATCCGGATCGGTGCGAGTAAGAAATCTGGATTTCCACAAATCGGTCCATATTCGGTACTCCCTTGATGGTTGGCGCAGCTACGCCGATCTTCAGGCCAACTACGTTGAGAACTCGTGCGACGGATTCTCGGACAAGTTCACTTTCGTGCTCTTCGGAAACTCCCTCCATGTGGGACAGCGCCTGGAGTTTGCTTGTCGATTCCAGTGCAAGGGCCAACAGTTTTGGGATAATAACTACGGCGCCAACTACTGCTTCCAGTGTCTGCCCAGCTCGACCCATCCCTCCTCCGGCAGCTCGACGGTATCGCCTCCGTCCGTGGTGACTGGCGCCGTTACCTCCGGCCACGGAGCCGGACTGGTCGGATTGCTAAGCCCCACGGCGGGCGATGCCTGGTGCAGCTCCTTCTACTAAAAATTTGGCCGAGATGGGCATATCCGTATCCGCATCTGCATCCGCATCCGCATCCAAACTCCATCCCCATCCCATTTGGCATGAGATCAAAGTCTGGAAACTATTTCAGCCTTGAGTTCATGCTAAAGGCTCCTTCAAATCAAATTATCCCAAATCATGGCAAGATAAGATGAGTGCTAGAGATCATAGATCACGTACCAGTTTTGGTTACCTCATTGGGCTGCCCCTTCATTTGGGTGAATGGATTATTTTGAAAAAACACTTAATTTTTGGATATCTCAGTTTTTTTTTTCAAAAATTAGCTTTTGTTTTTATTACTTCGGGTTTATTTTGAATTTTTCTTTAAAAAACAACTTTGAAAATAGCTTTCAATGAGTTTACAAAAATGAAATTAGTGGATTCAAATTCTTGTTTTTTAGAAATTTACGAAATCGTATTTTTTTTTAATTTGTGATCACCTTGTAAGATTTCAAAGAAATAAATACTACAAGTTAATGGAAGATCTAGCAAATTGAAAATACAAGTTTCGTCATTTTCCAATGCATCAAAAAATTTAAAAGAACCACAAAACTATGAAAACTTGATATCCAAAATAATGTATCCAAAAACCCTCCTTCATCTAAAAAACATGATTGAAAATGGTTTATACTTTTACGACCCAGACAAGAATGAAGGATATTTAAAGGAGTGAAAGGAGCTAGAGGAGCTGTTGAAACTAAAAGAGCGCCACAAAGAAAGCAAGAAATGAAACTAAACAAACCAGAGTAGTGCGAACATGAGAATGAGATCCAGAAAAGTTCGAATGAATCCCAAAGATAGTTGTTAGTCGTACGTTTTAAGAAGAGCAAGTGATAACAAACTAAAAAAATCTGATCAGTTTCTTTAATAGTTTTTCTGTTTTTTTTCAGTTTTGAGTTTTGATAAAATTAAAATTTGTTTTGTTCCTAGGTTTGTGTGTTATTGGAAAGGGTTTTCAGATCGCTGCCAGCTAATGTACTTTTTTTAAGACACCAATTTTTGTGAGAAGATTAATGGCAATTAATCAAAGTTCAGCAATAGTAGAAGTATGTTTACAGAGCTTAGAAATTTCACAAGAAACCAATCATAGTTCCCAGATCAAAAGTTAACTATAACTAACCAACATCTATTTTCTAGTCAAGTCGCGTTTACTTTTGAGAGATTTTTGGGCTAAATAGATCCACTGTTTAGTCGTATGGGAAGCAATACTCCAGCCTTAAATACGAAACCCGATCAAAAGACCTCTTTCTATCCAACATGGCAGGCAAACCTACACTTTTGTTTTTCCCTTCTGTTTGATTTTTTTAATCTATTCTTTAATTTTAATTTAAACGAATTCATTATTTTTATGTATATGTTGATGCGTAATATATATCTTAATATTATATACTATATATACAAAATAAAATAAATATAAAATTTAGTTTTTTCACCTTGGTTGCCTTATTGAGTTGACTTTTGATTAAATATGATTTAGAGAGCTATCCCCAAGACTCCCAGCGAAAAATATGCGAGCTCTTCTTATCCCAGAAACATATTTAAATATACAAGTATATAGCCAATAGCCTATATCAGGGATTGATAAGCAAAGAACTACTTATAACAATTACAAACGCAGCTACCTCAAGGTTTTAACCAAAACCGAAACCGCGAAAAATAATGAATAATAGTTAAACAAAATATATGATTAAAATAAAAATAAAATTAAATATGTTTATTGCATAGCAAACATGTAAAAACCAAAAAAAGCAAAACCAAAACAAATAAAAACGAACTTTAAAAGTTACAACTATTTACATATGTTAAAATACATAGATGAGAAACCCCATAAATACTATATTACAGAAGTCCCCTCTCCAAAAAAAAAGATTTTAGACTGAGACGTGAGTATTTCGAGGAGAGAACTAATTTGTTACGAGATCTGCCCGAAAACCAGATTTATGTTAAGGTTTGTGTGGGCGGGTCTTTTGTCAGCATGATAGTTTCATGTCACACCAACACAAAAGTAATAAAGAAACCACAATAAAATAATAAAGCCAACACCAAAATTTCTTTTGTGAAAGGCATTTGCGTATTAAATTTAATTTCATGCAAAATGGTACAAAATTTGCCAGCAGGTAAGTTATAGTTGCTCTGGTTCCCTTCTCTATAGGTTATTGCTGTTTCGCCACTATTTAGTTTATCTTTTATCACTTATCTATTGTTATTTATTGGGCTAATTCACTTTTCATGGCTCAATCGGAGAGTCGAGATTCTGGTGTAGTGTGAAAGTTCTTTCAACACGTTCGGCATTTCTCGTTCATTGATTTTTATGCAAATTATGCCAAATTTATAAATAGTTGGCTTAGTTTATTAAACAAGAGATATTTGCATAAAATACATGTTTAGGACAATCACCATGCCATGTATATAAATCTAAAAATGAGCTATTTTAACGGTAGTTTGAATGATTCTTCTCGATGACCATTCTTTAAAGACCATTCTTTGTTTCCATATAAAAAGATGTGACAATGATCTGATTTTGGTTAGTTCTCGACATGGAGTGGCGTTTGAAAGTTCCACTGACGAATTGGATTTTATTCGGTGTGCTTCTGCTACCAATTCTGGTAGCAGTCCAGGCCAAGGATAATGCCTCTGCTCCGCGTCTTATCACCCTGCAAGCCGGCAGCCCCGCCCCAGCTCCTCCGCCACAGGAAGTGATAATCGAAGGGGATTACGATCACCATCACCACCAGCCATATCCGTACCAGCCCAGCTATCCGTATCCCCAACCTCCGGCTGCGCCACAGCATTGTCACTGTCCTCCCGGACCTCCGGGGCCACCAGGACCTCCGGGAATACCAGGCCAGAAGGGCTATCCCGGTCAAAAGGGCTCCAAGGGTGAGCCTGGCGAAAAGGGTGCGAAGGGAGAGAAGGGCTACCCCGGCATGCCCGGTCTGCCTGGTCCCCAGGGCCCACCCGGATATCCCGGAGGATCCTATCCTCCTTATCCCTATCCTCCGCCACCACCACCATCTCCTCCACATGGTGGTCCCCACCGCTACTACGATGATCAGTACTACGAGGGAGATGACTATGGCCGTGCTTTCAGCCTCATAGAGGAGGAACCCATTGGCCCTCAGCCCATTATCTTGACTTTCAGCCACCGCAACAATCCATTTACAAAGAAATCAAATAAAAAACATATTTAAAACTTAACTTAACGGGAGGTCTTTTAAGACTGGGGAAAACACACAATGAAATACGGGTTAGTTCATTTGAAACCTTTATACAACTCTCATATAATAATCAGATACTTTCTAAATAAAGCACATTAATCCAATCCAAGACCTCACATTACACTCAACCAACGTAAATATTAGAACACAATACGATATATATCTAGACTATTAGCAAACATCATCGTCTATGCCCGGATGGTCGTCGGCCTCCTCCTCCGCATCGTCATCATCATCCAAGGCCGTTTGCGAGGCGCTTATCCCCGCGAAGTCATCCTCCATATTATCCACAAAACTGGAGACCCTGTCAAAACAAAACAAACAGACATTAAAAACAAATACCGGCGAAAGTTCTTCATTGTCGGCCATCACTTTTCAAAGTCGCACTGCGGCAAGAGACCTTCGTCCTTCGAAGGACTAAATCGGAACAGCGTGCTGAGTCTCAGAAGGCCGAGGAGTATTAGGAACATTCCGGCCACATAGCTCAGCCACAAATTGTGGGGATAGAGTATTAGGCAGATGCCGATGACCGCGTACACGGGCGTGGGGCGCCATCCTCCGCAAATCGCTGACAAACGCCAGCAGGCCAGGCAGCTGCAGGACCTCCGCTGGTAATTGTCCCTGAAAGATAGGGAAATAAGTGTCACCTTTACTTTAAGATTTAGGTCAATTTTATAATCTTAAAGATTTCTTTCTGTGCAATTGAACTCACTCTGCGCACTGAAGCTGCAAAAATATGGTTACCAGCCACTTGATCTCAATGAACATTACCAGCACGGCTGAAAAACTAACAAGAAATTAACATAATTCTTGGGGGCATCGGATATCTGACTTACACTATGTAGAGCCCGGCCTGATAGCCATGCATGTAGACATCAACGCCTACGCCGCAGATAACTGAAATGAGAAATGGCTTAGGAACATTGCTTGGGTGCGGGGGGTTCTTGTCTGGGGGGTGGAAAGGAGCCGGAGGAAGTGTTATCCTTGAATGAGCCTATAAAATAATGTGATTTCGTCTGGGCAAATATATTTATAAGCATATTTATTGAGTTGAGGCTTTTTTGTTTACCAAGCAAGGGCCATAAAATGTAATTCAAAGCCAGTAAAGGCAAACGAGGGTTTCTTGAAAATTTATGAAGTGTTTTAAAAATTATATATCTATGGGAAAAAAATATTTTTAGTGAAATAGAAATGTATTTACCAGAAACTTATGTTCTAAAACATTTTTTAATTTTGAAAACCTTTTGGGTAATTTTGAAAACCCTCGAAAATTTTTTCAAACCGCCCCCTAAAATATTCATATTCCAACCACATTATGGACCCCCTGCTTTTGTCCCAAATCCACTTCCAATGTATAAGATATGGCCAACAAAAGCCACCACGCCCCTGTCTCCGCTCATAAAAACTCAATCTAATTAAGTTGTTTTTATTATGCCAAGCCGCGAAAAACAAATCAGATTAAAGCCCACAGATATATAGATGAGCCATATATTTAAATGGAATATCAGAACCAAAAACCAGAGCAATTACATTAAATACTGCCAACGGAAGGGAAAAAAATTCGAAAAACGGATATCGAAAAAACATGCAAAAATTATCTGGATAATTGAAAGCGATGGGGGGAAAATAGATTTGGTCAGGACATTTTCCAAGAGGAAACTTGGCGGATGGCTGGCGCCAAAAGGCTAACAACAAAGCTCATTGTCGAACGTATGGAAAAGTTGGCCGAGAACGAGGAAAGAGAGGGGCCAGGGAAGGACTGGGGGAAAATCAACTCTTGGCACAGGATGCGAACTGCAAGCTGCATAGAGGCCAATGCCTTGTTAATGGCTCTGACAGAATAACCTTAGCTCGACTCCTGTTTTTCCGAGTCCTCTATTCAGTGGGGTTTATGAACTATATCAAGTTTTATACTTTGTTTTTCTGGGTTGCACTGCATTCATAAAAGACCCCACAACAATTTGTAAGGAAATTAGTCTGAACTTGACCCAAAAGGTTTTTGTTATGCTACAGCCAGCAATTTATCAAAAGCCCAGAAGGTTGGAAAAAATGGTGGCTGCACTATTTGAAGCGCATTAAGGAAAACTTGGGCCGGGGGCTGAGAGCCGTTATGATTGGTCGTGATAAGCGTTTAAGCCAAGTTTGATAACTGCACCAGATGGCCATCAAAGTAGAGAATAAAAAATGATTGCTTTTCTTTCGATTGCAAGGGAGATAAATTTGAGTATTAAAAATGTCAATAAATTAAATTCAATCAATAGTCCATTTCTGAATATATGTACATTAAAAAAAAAAAAATTTTAGAAAAAGAAAAAAAAGTTGAATAATGGCGTTTCAATCTAATGGAAGACGACTCTGACTACTACCACTACTACTAACTGATAAACTACTGACTTCAACTTGAACTGATATGTAAATACTTCCTCCGATTAAATTCAAAGCAAAAAATCATTTGTTAAGAAATCACGCATAAAGTTCATATTTAGATTGATATAGTATAAGAGTTTCCTTAAATTTGACCTGTCGTAACAATAATTGCAATTCAAGATTTAAAAAAATATAAAAAAAGTACAAAATAAAGACAGTTAATTAAAAAAGTAAAATAAAAAGATTCATTCTCGATAAAAAATAGATATTGTGAGTAAATTAGATGTTCAGAGTAATAGAAAAATATGTGAACAAAAAACATTAAAATCGACTTAGAATCAACTGATACCGATCCTTATTTCTATCAAATTTACTATAGTCCAAACAAGTAATTAAAGAAAATAGTAAAGAAAAAAGTAGAAAAAGTAAATGCAGTAAAATGAAAAAATTCAAAAATAAGATCCATGATATTGGGACCTTTGATAGTCAGAGCACAAAAACCAAGCGATGTAAAGAAAAATATTTAAAAAAAAGGCAGACAGTTAATTGAATAAATAAAAATAAAACATTGAAAAAATAGGCCCATGAGTCGTGGATTACAAGAACCATCGCTCAGTTTAAATTTTAAAACAAAACAAGAAAGGAAAGCTAACTTCGGGCGGAGCCGAAGTTTATATACCCTTGCAGCTAAAACCGGATATATATCGCAAACATCGGATATAGTTGGCCGATCCTTATGAAATTTGGTAGGATGGATCAAAATTTAATCTGTACCAAGTTCCAGCTTTCTATCTTCAAAAACACGAAAGTTGGGTCATTTCCGATCGTTCAGTTATATGGCAGCTATAAGATATAGTCGGCCGATCCCGGTCGTTCCGACTTATATACTGCGTGCAAAGGAAAGAAGGGTGTGTGCAAAGTTTCAAGACGATAGCTTTAAAACTGAGAGACTAGTTCGCGTAGAAACAGACAGACAGACGGACAGACGGACATGCTCATATCAACTCAGGAGGTGATCCTGATCAAGAATATATATACTTTATAGGGTCGGAGATGTCTCCTTCACTGCGTTGCACACTTTTGGACAAAATTATAATACCCTCTGCAAGGGTATAAAAATTAGTCAAGTATATTTAATACAATACAGTAAATTACCATAAGAAAAATAAATTAAATATAAATCAGAAATAATGTGTTGACAAAGATAATGGAGTGCTCTGTGGCAAAGTCAGCACTTGAATGAACTTATTTAAAGAGTTCAGTTGGAACAACAAAATTCAAGGCCTACTTTATAAAGAATTTGAATGAAAATGCTCATAATGTTCTTGCTTACTATGATTTTATTATAACAGAGAAAGTTTATTACATATCGATATTTATAGTTATCGGAAGTCAAAAAATACGCCTGAGATTCTTAGTATGCGTCACTAAAGAAATACTGCATTATTTCAAACCAGAAAATGGCTTTGAAGCACAAACAATATTGATGCTGAATAACAAAAAAGAATCCAATATAAAAATGTCCCTATTCACCAGCTTGGTCTTAGAATTTCCATTGAATGCCAACAAATGTAATAAGCCATGGCACTCAACATATCCTCAGGCAGGATATCCACTCGCAAGCATTTCTTACAACTTGTCAAGGGTAAATATTCCGAAAAAAAAGGACAAATCAGACAGCTATGATGTACATATACATATATGTGCATGTATGATATTCACATGCACATGCATCCCATAACCCCATCATGATTGGCATTATCTAGAGGCAGGGGGTCCACCTGGACTGTGAGTTATTTTATTTCGCTTGGATTTCCAGGCACTTGAGCTTACCGAATGAAGTCAGCAGACCAAAAACTCTTATCACAGGACGCAAACACTCGCAAGGCTCTGACTGGTGATTATGACGACGTCGTTGTCGTCGACATTGTTGTTGTTGCTGAGGTTGTTGCAGTTGCATTTGGCTCATGGTTATAGTATTTTCCTTATTCCTTTTTTTTTGGTTATATGTACGACCCCACACAAAATGGGCTAATAAAACAATCAAAGAGCCGTATCCACATCACAAAACTTTGCTACGTGCTTGGCATGCTAAGTGGCCAAAATACGACAAACATTTTCAATTTCAAACCAAGCACTGAGCAGGTCGTTAAGCTTTTAAATTTAAGTATTTAACGCGGGCATACGCTGCGTATGCGTATTGTGACACTTTTCACACTTCTCCTTCCATACCATTTAATCACCGGTCTTTCCCTGGCCGTGGGTGTGTGTGTGTGGGTGAGAACTAATGTCTGCAAATTACCGTTAGCATTTACACTTTCGCCCCGCACGTCACTTGCCACACTTTTGTTCCCTTTTTATTGGCGTTCTAGGTTTTCATTTTTATATTCTTATTTTAATTTAATTTTTTTTCCCTTTAATTTTTTTTGTGAGGTGCCAGTTGCCACTTTGCCACTTGACTTTATGACCGTGCTCTAAACAACGAACGTCCGTGCGCTTCCAACACCGCCAACTGAATGAAAGGACCAAGCAGATTGGGCACATTCGTAGTGGAGTCACAGCCAAAGGACCCAAGCCAGAGTCGCCGTTGAGGCTGCTGCTACTGCCACCACAGCAGACGCCAACTTTGTAGCAGCTAGAAAGCAAAGCAAAGTCAAAGCAAAAGCAGTGAAAAAGCAGGAGCCAGCCAATAGGACGGCTCTACATACGAAGCCATCGAGTTGATTTGTTATGAAATGTCACTCTGGATTTATTTCTCTTCTCTTAAAATTTGAAAAATAGGATAAAAAAAATGTGAAAAATTTAACAGATATACGAACGGAAGACTCAAGAATATTTAGGCACTCACGTAAATTCAAATGAAATAAAGTTATTGTTAAAAAATAAAAAAGTAAAGAAGTAATACCTCGTTTAGCATTTTTTTTCTATCCTCGAAAAACCATTGCAATTCTAGCGATTAAAAAATAAAATTATTGAAAATAATAAATTATGTACTCAAAGAAAAAAAAGACTTTTAATAATGTAAGCCTTTTGCGTCAGCAAACATGCCTCCACGAGAAACAAGATATTGAAATTAGGCAAATTTAAAATAAATACTCAAAAAAATAATAATAATAACAAAATAAAATATTTATTTTGAAATAAAGAAGTCCACCGTTGGATATCCAGCACTAAAGTGATGATGACCCAAAGGAGATGCCTTCCTTATATAGTATTTTAAAAAATGCGAGTAAGTCAATGCCTTTTTTGATGTTTCAAAAGCCTACTTGGTTTAATTAATCAAAATAGACTAGAAATATTTTAGTTTCATTTTTTTTAACTTTGCAAAATTAAAGAACCTCTCACTTTAAAGTGGAGGGGCCATGCTAAAGTCATTATTACCCCGAAGCTGTTACTACCATTTCTAGCTGGATTTTATTTGTCACGTTGTCCTGTGTGAGTTGCCTTTGCTGGCGTGTCCTTGTGTGTGCGTGCTTTCGTCCTGCTGGTCCTCCCTCCACCCCTCTCGACCTGCTTCCCTCCGTTTGGCTACGTTTCAGTAATTTTCATAACCGGCTAGATGGGGAGCGCGAAGTGTCAGCGGCAAATGGAAGCTGAAAAGACGACCAGGAGCTGAGCTGAGCAATTGCCAAGAGCCAGGCGTCTACGCAGAATGTGGACAAAAACATTTTCTGCTGCGGCACCCCACACCCTCGGCAGTCCATCTCAGACCACTGGGGCATAGGGAGGAAATTCAGGGAGAAGCTCGAGTAAATATTTTTTTTAGCTTCCCTCGCTTATTGTGCTGTGCACTTGCCAAGGTACCTATCGTCAGTCTTGTTTGCATTATGCGGCGTTAATGACATCCAAAGTGGAAGGCCGTCCCCGACAACCCCTAGGAAAAGCTCCAATGTCTCTCCAGCATCTACGACATAATTCACACCGACCCCACACTCAAAACATTTCATTTCCGTTTGCAACGTAAAGGAAACCACAAAAACAAAGTCAAACCACTGAGCTCTAAGCAATATGTTCTTTACTAAAATATTTCTACTAAAAATTAATTTCAGTGCACTTCAATGCTAATGGGGCCTTCACTTGGGGAACTCCTTGCGCCGCTTCATTATCTTGGTAATACCAGCCACCATGGCTACTTCGGGGAGGGCCAGCTTGGCATCCTCCTGGAAGTCACAGCGTCTGGTTAAATGCAGCCATGTCCTCTCCGGATTTAGCGACAATGGCATCTGCAGCCAGCTGACATAGTCTATTTTCATGGAGCCCGTTAAGAGCTGGTCAAAAGGCGTATTATTACCAATAAAGAACATGGACCGGAGCACCGAGGTTTTCGCCTCCTTGATATTTTGGCCTTGAACTCCCTGAAAGGGACTCGGATCGTTGTCGCCCGTTCCCAGTTGCTCCAGCAGCCAATCCTTGTTGAATTTCAGATAGTTGTACACCACTTTCAGGGCCTGTTTACCAATATTTGTGGTCAGGACATCGCTGACCAAAACTTCTGCTATATAGTCGGCGATTCCCACATCCATTTCCATGGCGTAATTGTTCGGGGGACTGTGGCTGAGGCGATCCGATTCGGCATTCGTTAGGGCCAGGTCATCCATTTTGATGGTGCTTACAGCACTCATGCCTCCGGCCCCTCGATTATTGCCTCCCACTGACCCACCGAAATCGGTGTCCAAGTTAATGCTCTCCTTGGCCTGCTTGAGGAACAGTTCGATCTGGTCCGTGTGCTTGTCGTCCTCGTCAATCGAGCAAATGGCCTCAGAGATGGAATAGCAAATGGAGGCCTTCTCCTCATTTTTGTCTGAAGAAAAAAATAGTTAAATTTGTAACCAAATTTTTATAAAAACTCACTTTGCTCGTGGACCTCTGCGGTTTTAATGAGTTCCGTGTACAGAGCTGCAAAAACTACTTGAAGGAGCACCGAATCACCTAGAGGCCTTGTAGAAACCGGAATAATGTCCTGCAGCAGAGAAGCGATCTTGTAGAGACCCTCTGGAATGCAATCCCAGATCTCCGAGACACAAGTAAGGGCCAAGGACATGGCCTGGTACATGCTAGCACCATTTTCCACCGCATTGATCAGCATTTCCACAACGCAATCTAGTACGGGGTATACAAAGTGCATGATGGCCTCCAGCCAGGGGGTCCTCTTCTGGTTCCAGACTTGACGCTTGTCCAGGCAATCGCTCCATCCGGTGACCGCATTTTCCTCCAGGGTTTTGATCAGACAGGATTTGATGTCAACGGCTTTGCCAACAGCCACCACCAAGTAAGTAAGGGAAAGGACTATCTGGTAGTTGGACTGACCCACAGGATCTTTTAGGAAACAAAAGTAAAGTTTTTTAATATTATTGCATAAGAAATAATCTCACCTATATCTCCAGCTATAGACTCGGTGACGTTAAAACACTCTCCTCGACACAAGAAAGCCTCACATTTCTGTGGAGCTCCCTCGGCGCTGGTAAACGAATGCTTGGCCACATTCTTGAAATTCTCCGAAGACGGCAAATGCTGCATCAGGTGTCTAATTATAATTCCCGTCAAATAGGCGTCTCTCATCAAGAGGATCTTTAGCAAATAAGACCAGTCGGCCTCGGGAAAGGCCAGTAAGACTCTCAAGTCCAGGGATATGGCGGTGTTGGTAGAAAGATCGGCGAATTCTGTAACCCACTGGCAGGATTGTTCTTTGGGAAAGTATCGCGGTAAAGCGAATATAATCCAGGCACTAGGAAGCCCATGACGGGAACTAAACATTTCCATGTTGTCTAGTCCTTTGCGGAAAACCTTGTAACAATAACTTCAGAACAGTCTCCATAGGTAATCAACAGACTTACTTTGGAAAGAACTCCCAGAGGAGCTCCTCTCAACAAAAGGCAGTAAAAAAGCTCCCGGCACTTGGCATGAATGTCTCTGATAATAACACTCTGGTTGCTTAGTTGCAACCCCACATATGCCTCCCCACTCTCGCTAATATGTGGCAGCAGTTCCGCTATGCAGAGCAGCATGTTGCAGATATCCACCAAATGCAACTGAGATCGTGCCACACTGGTCACTATCTGGGTATATCGAACAGTCAAGACACTTAGTGTCTCATTCAGCATTCCAGCAAAGATTTTCTGGGCCATCTTCGGAGGCACTGAGTTCCACAGATCGTTTTTGGAGCCCCTCATGTAGTGCCACCACATCTGGATGGTATAGGAACCCCTTTCGGATTCAAAAAAGGGCTGAGTATCCTCCCAATGCAAACAGTCTGCATCCTGGATAATGTAAAGCAATAGCAAGCGACAATGAAGATCCAGGAGGCGTTCAGCCAAGGCCTCCGACATTTGGGAGTATTGCTTGAAACTAAGCTTCAGGGCTCCACCTTTCTCATCTCCTTTTGGAGGACAAATAGTTGTTGTAGCCGCCTGCATGTAGACACTCAGGGAGTTCTTGACCAATGATGCAGCTCCAATGGTGGCTGTGAGCACCGAAAGATCGGCATGATCCAAGGACTCCTGGGAAAGGCGATGGATATGCTCGAGTAATAAATCTGCAGATTTCGTTACTAACTGCACAAATTTATCCGGATCTGAAGTTTTAATGGTAACACTAGTCTGGAATACAAATATTATTTATACTGATTTTTATGACAAAACCCTTACAAAATCTCCCTCATTCATTTCCTTCTCAGTATGCAAGAGTCCCGATGGCTTCCGATAAGAGGCAAAGTACTCATCCTCCCACCTGGAATAAAATTTAAATTAAATGAGTCTCTCATGAATTATAATTTATAATACTCACCACCGAATTAATTTAATGGCTGCAAAAGACGCATAACGTGGAAAATCCAATTTTCCACCCACAACTCCAGAACAAATTGGTTCCTGAAGGACTCGCTGATGTGTCTGTATAATAAGGGTAACATTTGAATAAAAATAACAAGAAATCCGTTTTACCTATACCTGATAAAATTCAAGATCTCGCTGCAGTAATATAGGAACTCTGTCCATTAAATTTCCTTCTTCCAGCACCTCCATTTTTAGGCGTTACTTTGTTTCCGGCAGTTTAGAAGAACTAAATGCGAATTTTTCGCTAACGAACAAACAACCTATTGAGTTCAGCGGTTTCCAAGGGTAACAAAATGAGAATACCGATACGCCAAAAAGCAGCGGCCATAGGGGTCCACTTCAAAAATTGTGAATATGTATCAAAGTTTGATATTAGGCCTACGAAGGCTTTTTCTCCGGAGGGTCCACTCCAAAAATTGTGGATATGCATGGGAGTCTGAAATTTGCCATTGCAAAGGCTATATCTTCGCAAAATAACATCCGATTCTTAACCGGAGTGTCTTTAATGATTTTTAGATCGATTCTCTATTCATTTCCATTAAAACCCGATCACAAATTTTTTTTTAGATTTTTTCTCAAATTTTCTGGAAGGTCCCCCAAAAATTGTGAAAATGCATGGGAGTCCGAGATTCGCCCCTGCAAAAGCTATATCTTCGCCAAAAAACATTCGATTCTTAACCGGAGTGTCTCAATTGATTTGTAGATCGGTTTTCTATTCATTTCCATTAAAACCCGAACACAAATTTTTTTAAAGATTTTTTCTCAAATTTTCTGGAGCGTCCCCTTCAAAAATTGTGAAAATGCATGGGAGTCCGAGATTCGCCCCTGCGTAGGCTGTATCTTTGCCAAAAAACATCCGATTCTTAACCGGAGTGTCTTAAATGATTTGTAGATCGGTTCTCTATTCATTTCCATTAAAACCCGAGCACAAATTTTTTTTTAGATTTTTTCTCAAATTTTCTGGAGGGTCCTCTTCAAAAATTGTGAAAATGCATGGGAGTGCGAGATTCGCCCCTGCAAAGGCTATATCTTCGCCAAAAATCATCCGATTCTTAACCGGAGTGTCTCAAATGATTTGTAGATCGGTTCTCTATTCATTTACATTAAAACCCAAACACAAATTTTTTTAAATATTTTTTCTCAAATTTTCTGGAGGGTCCCCTTCAAAAATTGTGAAAATTCATGGGAGTCCGAGATTCGTCCCTGCAAAGGCTATAGCTTTGCCAAAAAACATCCGATTCTTAACCGGAGTGTCTTAAATGTTTTGTAGTTCTGTTCTCTATTCATTTACATTAAAACCCGAGCACAAATTTTTTTTTAGATTTTTTCTCAAATTTTCTGAAATGCCCCGAAAAATTGTGAAAAGGCATGGGAGTCCGAGATTCGTCCCTGCGAAGGCTATATCTTTGCTAAAAAACATCCGATTCTTAACCGGAGTGTCTTAAATGATTTGTAGATCGATTCTCTACAAATTTCCATTAAAAAACGCTCACAATTTTTTTTTAAACATTTATTTAAAATTTTCTGGAGCGTCTCCTTCAAAAATTGTGAAAATGCATGGGAGTCCGAGATTCGCCCCTGCGAAAGCTATATCTTCGCCAAAAATCATCCGATTCTTAACCGGAGTGTCTCAAATGATTTGTAGATCGGTTCTCTATTCATTTCCATTAAAACCCGAACACAAATTTTTTTAAAGATTTTTTTTCAAATTTTCTGGAGGGTCCTCTTTAAAAATTCTGAAAATGCATGGGAGTCCGAGATTCGCCAAAAATCATTCGATTCCTTAGAAGAGTGTCGTAAATGATTTATACATTAATCCACTGCCAAACTATGAGCCGGTTCTAGACTTCTGCCCGCCACTGTATGTACTATGCATATACCAACTGATAAGACCTGCTTTTCTCTTTATTCCCTCTCTGGAATTAATTCAAGTTACGCTGGTGATAAGCCGCCGCAATTGCCGACTGGCCAGCTCTTTCAGAATTTAATCTGCTCTCAGTTGACAATTGACTTGCGACTTGAACGGTAGAGGACTCGGGATCCGGAGGCGTATACACAATGTGAGTATGGTGTCAATTAAGATGCTATCAGTAGATGCGCTCTGCTGGGGATCTAAAAAAAACTTTCCAGCCAGCAACCAGAAAACAGGCGTAGCGGGCAGTTATCGCTCGATAGCCGCGGTATCAGCGTATAATCAGTAATCCATAAATCTTCTCTTGCTCTGCTCCATGTTTGAATGAGGATTTCTATGTACCCACAAGAAATTAGGTCTTGAAGACGCAGGTTAATACAGTTTCTTTGTTTCTTACAGCATGCTGGCGAATTTAAGAAACCTTTCCCGACTGGCCTTGCCCCGTCGTTTGGCCTCCCAATCCTACTCCTCCTCCTCATTCCTGATAGACCAACCGGAATACAGTTTCCTGAAAGAACTAGGACTGGAGCGCGAAAATCCTGGAGTGTACTCGGGTCATTGGCAGGGACGTGGCCCCAGCGTCACCAGCTACGATCCTGGAACTGGCCAGGCCATAGCCACAGTGCGTCAGGGCACGGTCCAGGAACTGGAGCAGACCATAGGACTGGCTGTGGACGCCTACAAGCAGTGGCGCAAAGTACCCGCTCCTGTTCGAGGCGAAATAGTCCGCCAGATCGGAGATGAGCTGCGAAAGTACAAGGAACCCCTGGGCAAACTCGTTTCCCTGGAGGTGGGAAAAATCTATAGTGAGGGTCAGGGAGAGGTGCAGGAGTTCATCGACATCTGCGACTATGCGGTGGGTCTCTCCAGGATCTATTCCGGTCAGTTGATCAACTCGGAGCGTGCTGATCACTCGATTCTGGAGGCTTGGCGTCCTCTGGGATTGGTCGGTGTGATTTCGGCATACAATTTCCCCAACGCGGTATTCGGATGGAATGCTGCTATTGCTCTAACCACCGGCAACAGTGTTCTGTGGAAGGGAGCACCCAGCACCCCCTTGGTTTCCGTGGCCACCACCAAGATTGTGGCCGATGTTTTGCAGAGAAACAACCTGCCGCCAGTGGTTACTCTCTGCCAAGGAGGCACCGATGTTGGTCAGTATTTGGTTTCCGATAAGCGAGTAAACCTGGTCTCCTTCACGGGCAGCTGCCAAACTGGTCGGGATGTCGGCGTAGAAGTTCAGAAACGCTTTGGAAAGGTGATCCTCGAACTGGGCGGCAACAATGCCCTGATTATCGATGAATCGGCCAACGTTAAGATGGCCCTGGAAGCGGCCCTTTTCGGTTGCATCGGCACCAGCGGCCAGAGATGCACCACCACGAGGAGGATCATAGTACACGAGAAGCTTCACGATCAGTTTGTACAAGCTCTGGTCAGCAAATACAAGCAACTGATACCTAAGATTGGTCACCAACTGGAGGCACAAACTCTCCTGGGTCCCGTCCACACGCAGCAGAATGTGGAGAACTACAAGAAAGCCATCGAGGAGGCCAAGTCCTTGGGTGGAACGGTTGCCTTCGGCGGGAAGGTCATACAGCGAGATGGCTTCTATGTGGAGCCCACTGTAGTCACGGGATTGCCTCATGATGCCAGCGTTGTCCATCGCGAAACTTTTGCGCCAATCGTCTATATCCTGAAGGCTAAGAATGTGGAGCAGGCCATTGAATGGAACAACGAGGTGGAGCAGGGTCTCTCCTCTGCTATTTTCACCGAGAACATCGGTCAGGCTTTCAAGTGGATTGGATCAAGTGGCTCCGATTGCGGAATCGTGAACATCAACACCACTACTAACGGCGCCGAGATTGGTGGAGCTTTTGGTGGCGAAAAGGCCACTGGCGGTGGTCGGGAGTCCGGATCGGATGCCTGGAAACAGTACTGCAAGAGGGCCACTATCACAGTTAATCACTCCGGAGAGTTGGCCTGTGCCCAGGGTGTCGTCTTCAATGTAGAGTAAATTTTATTCAATTAGAATTTGTATAATCGTCCTAATTTCAATAATTCAATAATTTTAAATACAAAAATAATTTCCAAAATGCCATTGGGTGCGGTCAATTCTTACAGATCTCGAATCGCCAAAAATCCACTTCGATATCTTTGGACTTTTGCTTGTGGAATTTGTAGCTAGCATCGATGTTATAGCGAAGTTCAGCGACCACCGTTGCTCGGGCACCCAACTCTTGGGCCTTTTTTTGAATGTAGGCACTGAGAAATAATGAAGAGGAGGTGTTAGAAAATTTAGAAATCTTTTAAAATTGTCTACCTACCGTGTAGAGGTCTTGTGCAGGGAGTAGACGGCGCCGGTTGCCAACTTTAGAGCTACTTCCAGAAACCGCATATCCATACCGGCATTGTGTTTAGTTCCAAATGGAGGGTTCATGACCACAGTGTCGAAAGTCTTTTCCCACTTGCTGCCAGCCAACTGCAGGACATCCGTCCGTACGCAATCCACATTCGGTAACTCCATGTCCTGTACATTACCCCTAAACGTATCAACTGCATCGCCATCCAATTCAAAACCCACTGTGAGCTGGGCCCCCAAGAAAGTAGCCGCAATGCTAAGCATTCCGCAACCGCAACCCAGGTCTCCCACCAATTTCCCCTCTATGTCCTCATGCTGAGATTGCATATGATGTATCATACAGGCAGCGATGTGTGGGGGCGTTGGATACTGCTCCAAAAGGATCTTAGGCTGCTCAAAACCGTCGACACCCTGCAGGTACTCCTCCAGCTTCTTCAGCTTTAAACGAGCCATAGTGGATTTACGTAACGAGATTATTTGTTGTTAATGGGGGTGGTGGGGGGCGTGGCAATGGTCGCCGGCAGAGGTTCAAGGCGCGGCAGCACGGGTAAGAAACTATTTCCAAAATACGAATCCTGAGGTACAAAGAAGCCCAGAGTCGTAGAGCTCGTTGGATTAAATGCAGCGCGGGCCGTAGGCGTGGCATTGGCGGCTATGCCACCCGCACCAAGCTGAAAATCCGGTGTCACTGTCGTCGGCTGGCCGAGCAACTGGGGAGTGGACATCTGAAAAGCATATATTCAACGTAATAAGTGCCAACATCCTCAAATTCCACAACAAATAGTACCTGAGTGTTGATTCCCAAATTTATGATCCCCCCGGCAAGCAGCTGCTTCTTGGTTTGGATCTCCTCAAGGATCTTGCGGGTTGTGTCTGCTTGCTGGGCACTTGTAGTAGGAAAAGCCATGAAATAATCAACAATTAATTGTAAAAAAGGAAATAAATAGAACTTGATAGTGTTGACTTTCTGAATTCGGCTAATTTTTCAGTTTGTTCGGCGTGACATTCCCGAAATATCAAGGAACGGTCTTACTACAACATGTGTTATTGAATATTGTGAATTTTATAAATTAAATGGTCGCACCTGCAAAGTGGATTTAATACTTAAGAAAATTAAAAAAATATTTGAGCAAAGTTCTAGCACATTTTTTAAAAAGAAAATAGAAACATATTTTAATGTTTCGCGTTGCCAACCAATTACCCAATATGGATTTTGCAACACTAAAAATAAAATACAGTTTTCACAACACTGGATATTTTCCTCTAGGAAGAGCGTGCGAACCAACAACAAAATATATTTATTTACAAAATTCGTAAACATAAACATTTTCCAGAGTTATTATACACTCTGAACCGCGTTGGCTATTTTTTAAATTGCAGTGCAAGTGTTAGAAGTAACGAAAAAACAATGAGTATGAGCGACGACGACAGGGATATTGATATCGAGAGTGACGTAAGCAACTGACTAAAATCATAAATTTATTTATGTATATGGAAAATAACGCAATATAAACACCCTTTTTAGGATGATGGGGACTCGGACAACGGCCTAGGCTCCTCTCGACACACAAGCACTGCAAATTTCACCCAGGTGAGTATCCCAAAAGCAAAAGGTGGCTGCGCACGTTGACTTTGTTGATAAACAAGACGCACATGTTATTGTTGTTGTTATTTTTTTTGGTTGATAAATTCGATAAATTGTTTACATATTTAAACGATTGAAGTTTAATTTATTTTAAAGGCCGAAAAGCGAGCTCATCATAATGCGTTGGAACGAAGGCGGAGAGATCACATTAAGGAGAGCTTCACCAACCTCAGGGAGGCGGTACCAACGCTGAAGGGCGAAAAGGTAAGAAGCAACAGATTGTATAGAAAATAATATAATTCTAACAAAGTATGATGTTTGTAACACAGGCTAGTCGCGCACAGATCCTGAAGAAGACCACTGAATGCATACAAACCATGAGGCGGAAGATCAGCGAGAACCAAAAAGACATCGAAGAGATCAAAAAACAAAATATCATACTGGATCAACAAAGTAATAATTATATCCTTGTACATTATATGAAAATCTATTAACTAATTCGTATTCTCCAGTTCGAGCATTAGAATGTTCAAACGGCGATGATCCCTATGCAGAATTCCTCAGTGAGGATGAGGTCGAAAGCGACGATGACGATGATGATTTAGATCAGCCCGACTTTAGTAGGCGGAACAAAAAAATGAAAACCTTCCACGCATAGCTGCTGCCACAGACTAAAACGCAGCCTCTGCCTGGCAGTTGCAGTTTTCATTTTCACTCATTTTACTCGAATCGAATTCGCACAAATGTGAATATTTCATGGTGATATAAAATCCACTTTTTAAAGAATCCCAATCTCCCTGTCTAACAAAGGCTTACCCTGAAAAATGGTATTCCAAATTGAGTCAATGCATATGAGCGATTAGAATCAGTGAAAGCGAAAACTGTATCATGTCTGATAATCATAATCATCACTAGTTTAAGTGCAATGTTTACCCACCCTTTACACCTTAATTATATACGTGTCTTTTGTAATTTAAGCCCAAAATTATTCTCTCTTTACGGAAAAAATAAAAATTTGTAAGAATATATTTTAATAAATCTTAAAGCGCTGTTTATAGTGATCTACGGGGTAAAAGACCACATCTTTTAAGAATATTGGGAATAATTAGGAATAACCATTGAATATTTGTCCTTTTAAAAACACTCGCATTAATTAAATGCTATTTCTTCATTAAAAATATTTTAGTATATATATTTTAGCAAACAAAAAAGAAACTATTTAAACTTGAGAGTTATCCAAAGAATAAAGAAAACGAGCAGGATGAAAAGGAACATGTAGCACATCTGGCGGGATCCACCGCCCTGCTTGGCCAGTCGTACTACCCTCGTCATTGTATTTCCCAGAAAGCCACTCGTCCTATCCATATCGTCGTCGATGCCGCGCAACAACTTATCCTGGTAACGGACTTCATTTCCTATATCTATGGTCAGGGATTTGAGGGCTCCGATCTTTTGTTTCAGCTCCTCGGCTGCCAGTTCATTTTCCGCCTCCAAGGAATCGTGGTTGGCGGGACCAGAGCTCGGTGGCTGCTGGTTCAGGGGCTGATAGGGATAGTTATTGCGACGCATGCTGTTCCCCGTGTGTGCCAGTTTGGCATCAGGATTGCTGCAATTCATTAGTTTTCATTAGTCATGATAAAGTTCAACAATTCCATGTCAGTGACACGTAAACGTTATCACAATATCTCACCCGATGGCAATTTTATGATTTAAATGGTGTTTCCTTCGGACAACCCCTTTGGCTGACTGGTCATAGACCCGTGACCCTTGTTGTGAACTTCAAAACAAGTCTGAGTAATCAAATTTCATAAGATTAACTTTTTAAAAACTAATGCAATTGTTGGTTGGTCTGCAGTGTGACCAGAGAGCGTTACTAAAGACTTGTTGCAATTTAGATCGTTTTTTAACCCTTAATGGCTCTTCTAATGTCTAATAAAATCGAATTCTAATAAGTTAGAGTATTATTGAATATAAAATTATTAAAATAGTTATAGGTTTTAGTTAATAAGGCTTATATTTTTGATATATGGATATAAAAGCCATGGGTTAATCCTCTTTTCTAATACTGCCCAAGCTGGCCACACTGGTCCAGTTGGCTTTAGGTAATTTCGGCCAACTTTTAGATTTAGCTTAAGCCGCTCGATTGTTTCTCCCCATTCACTTTTTTCGACTCTTGGCCATTAAATCAATAAGCATAAATTATTTAAATTGACGCGGGTGACAAGTGCGTCAAGGAAATCATCTTTTTTCGGTGGAGCCACTACTACGTCATTGGCGTTTTCAGTGACCCTGACCAAGTGCACTCGTTTGTTGTTATTGTTGTTGTTTGGTATCTTGCTCTGCTCCCCTTCTCCCCGCCCCCCTCCTATCAATGATCAGAAACAAATTTGCGTAATAAGCGACATTAACATAAATAATAACAACAATTGCACTGATAAGGGCCCCGAGAACATTGAACCGTCGGACACGCGAGCCGAATCACTGATAAGATGCGAAACTCTTTATTCCAGATTTAGCATGCCGGAATACATGGAGGTCTTGCCCCACCGCGGCCTGATGGATGGAATAGCTGAGACGGCGGGCGTTCCCGTGGAGGCGCTGCGACTGCTGCTCACCATTCTGGCAGGTGAGCTGGGTGTGGGACTTGAGAGTTCTTCCTTCCCTTCCCCCGTGGAGGTGTTGATAATGAGCCACATGGATTGTATAGAAGCAGCTGTTTCTGTAGAAGATTACCCTCATGGCAAACATTCAAGCAATGTTTACACAACTGTCAGCTAACTTGCATAAACCTTTTAAACATTCACAAAGATAATGCCAAAGCTATATGCTTTCTAATCTCAAAATTAACTCTATTTAAATGTTCTAGAAGCCATTATCTACTAAGCTTTATTGGAAGAAATACGCCTACCAATGTAATCTCTAATGATAAGTTCGTGGGAAAGATATAACAATAATTAAAAGCTGCTCGCTTCACAATCAAAGTTGTATCACCTCGCGATTGTGACTCATTATAATGATATGGTTCTATATATATAATAATATATAATTTCTCTTATAGGCTACCCAATCGCTGCCTTCTATCTTAAATTTCTGACCAGCATAAACGATAAGGTGGTGCATCACATGTTCTTTGCCTCTTGCGGCGCTGGACTGTGCTACTTCAACTATGGCAACGACACATATCACTCCATTCTGGGCATCATGACCACTTATTTCCTGGCCCTGTTTCTGCGCAAAGCAACGACCATCTTTCTGACGATAAACTTTATATTCCATATGACATATTTGCTGCTGGGCTACTACTACACCGCTAGCAACGAGTACGACATACTGTGGACGATGCCCCACTGCATTTTGGTGCTGCGCATGATTGGCTTTGGCTTCGATTTAACCGATGGCTTGAAAAGCGAAGAATCCTTGTCCAAGGACCAGAAGGAAACGGCCCTGAAGGAACTGCCATCGCCGCTGGAACTGCTGGCATTCGCCTACTTCCCTAGTGGATTTCTGGTGGGACCTCAGTTTCCCTACCGCCGGTATCAGAACTTCATCAATGGCCAGTACCGGGGCTACGAGGGAAGCCTTGAGGCGGGCTTACGACGCTTTGGAGCAGGAGCCTTCTACCTCATTGTGTGTCAAGTTGGTCTGAGCTATCTCCCCGATTCGTACTTCCTCACCCCGGAATTCGCCGGCGAGCCATTCTTCAACCGGATCTATATGCTGGGATTCTGGGCCAAGTTCAGCCTGTACAAATACATATCCTGCTGGCTGCTCACCGAGGGAGCCTTGATCTGCATCGGACTGACCTACAGGGGCGTGGACAGCGAGGGAAATCCCGACTGGTCGGGCTGCAGCAACGTCAAGTTGAAGCTCCTGGAAACGGGCAACACGATGGAGCACTACGTGCAGAGCTTTAATGTCAACACCAACCAATGGGTGGGGCAGTACATCTACAAGCGGCTAAAGTTCCTCAACAATCGCACGATCAGCTATGGAGCAGCGTTGGGTTTCCTGGCCGTCTGGCACGGCTATCACAGCGGCTACTACATGACCTTCCTCATGGAATACATGGTTGTGAGCACCGAAAAGCAAGTGAGTAATTGATGACCTTTAGAGTTCTATATCACGCCAGAGAATAACCTTTATATTCTATTTTAAGATCGCTCGCTTCTACACCAAAGTGGTGCTGCCCAAGTGGGGTCACATTCTCGAGAACTCGGACATCTACAAGCTTGTGTATTTCCTGGCCCTGAAGTCCTACAACATTGTCTACATGGGCTGGTGCCTGGTGGCCTTTGTTTTCCTCAAATACGAGCGATGGATTGTGGTTTACGGGGCAGTGAACTACTACGGATTTCTTGTCCTAATCGGTTGGGCGGTCTTCTATCACTCCTACCGACAACTCGCCAGAGGAGAATCGCGCCGAGAAGCTGGCGAGGATAGAAGGGTGCAGCAGAAAAAGAGCGAAGAAATCTCCGCAGCGGGAGGAACCCAATCGGAGGAAAAGAAACCGGAAGAAAAAAAGGCTGATTAGCGGAGGGGAGCGAGAGGGAGCGTCTGCTTTAAAGACATTTCAAAATTTTAGTTTTGCCTTGACAATTATTTGGAAATCGTAATGTTAATTAAATTGGAACTGTAGATCTACTAACCAAATAAGTTTTACCAAATAATATGCCACTGTAACTAGAAGTTTGTTAAATAGCCGTTGAAGAGCAATTTTGTACACATATATAGATCGTCGGCCTAGTCAAGGAGGAGTTATCCCCAACAAAATAGTGTATTTCGAGGAAGCAAACGCACTGTCAGTCGTATATATGTTATGGAATTGTAAATTAAGTGTTAATGAAAACAACTAGCAACTAGACAGATCAAATGTGAGACTTAATTAAGACCTGAGTCCGAATCAAACAACTCTGCTACAGATGAAATGTACTTGAACTTCAAATCGAGATTTACCTAAGCCATAAAGTATAAAGTTTTATACAACGCGAACGATGATGCAAAGATATGTATATTTTGATATGCTCACGCAAAGTGCAAATTTCAATAATTGAAAAACGGAATAAATGCAATTATTTTTAGGTACAAAGTTTTCTTTAATTTCAAATGGGGGTCTTTAAACGAAAAAGATTGATTCCAAACTTGTACATAGATGTGTTTATTAAAGGGCAGGGACCAGAAAATGGAAATATTTTGAATTTTAAAAGCAAAAATATCAAATATGTAAATCAAAATAATATTTTGAAATGGTTGTTTATACGCTGGAATCTGGTATTCTTCAGTTGTGATTCTAAGAATGTAAAATATCTATAAACTATAATGTTTTTAAGAAAATTAAATTCTAATTGTTATTGAAACTCAAAGAAATCATAAAATAAACTCATCGCTTCATTTAGATACAAGGAAACTTATTTATTGATCATAAAATGGTCATGAGAATGTACGGGGAGGATGCTCTTTTTAAATTCTACCCCCTAGTGCTCCATTGGCTGGGCATCTCCGCCGCCAGACTCCGCACGACGCTTGGCTCCCCCTCCCGAAGACGGATCCTGCTCCTCCTGCTCGGTTATCTCGCTGAACATGTAGTCGTCCTGGTACTCCTTGAGGATCTTGCTAGAACGGTTCTCATCCAGGAACAGGGAATAGACCTTCTTGACATCTTCCGTGTTGACTTCGGTGGCCTTGCGACGGCGACAGACCAAGTTAGCGGTGGTGATGAGTTGGATGGCATAACGCAGACTCGTATCAGTGGCGATACGCGTCAGGATAGAGAGAGCATCCGGGTGCATGACGCAGTCCTCCTCCTCGCAACGGATCTTCAGAATCTCCTTGACTTCCTTCTCGGAGTATGGGACGGTGCGGATGATGATCATACGATCGAGCAGATCAATTGGAATGCCATGGGGGCTGCGGTAGTTGGTGCCCCTGATGCGAGTGATTCCTCTGTTGGTGGCCATGACCACGACGGGCGCCATATCGGATTCCAAGGCGCGGTTCAGGAAGGAGAAGCATTCAATGTCCAGCATATGAACCTCATCGATGAAGAGCACTCCCGGGTTGATTTCAGCCTTGCCCTCCTCACGCCACTCCAGGACCTTGTTATTGATCTGGTCGCGAACCTCCTGCTTGATCTCGCCAGTATCCCCGGAGAACAAAGCCAGAAAACCGTGAGTACGGCTATTGATCACATCGATCTCGTGGAGGGTCACAGTGTGCACCACCTCCTTGCGCTTCTGGAGCTCTCCCTCGGGGCACTGGACGAATCTGGTCTGGGCGCCAGTGGCATCATAGTCCCGAGCCCTGGTGAAGCTTCTTCCCAGTTTGTTGACCTTTCCCGAGGCCTTGTCGATGGTGATGACATCCCCTGCCTGGATCTTTTCCTTCATGAAGCACTCGATGATCTTGTTGCCCAGGTCATAGTTGGTCTCCATTTCGGTGGTTTTCAGTGTGACTTTTCCCACTTTTTGGCCGGTGCCGCTGGCGGGACGTTCAATTTGTATCTCCACCACCTCGCCTTCGATGATCTCGGTTTCCTCCTTGATACGAACTCCAATGCTCTTGCGCAGGGCCTGCGACAGGGCCTCTGTTTTGCTCATCTCCAAAGAATAGATCTCGGATCCAGACATGCTGGTAAAGGGTGTCTCTGTGCCCAAAGCCTGGGCCATTCCCACGGCGATGGCAGTTTTGCCGGTACTCGGCTCCCCAGCCAGCAGGATGCATCTGCCGGCGATTTTGCCCTCGCGCACCATCTGTACCACCACTCCTGCGGCTCGGCGGGCATCCTTCTGGCCCACCATTCCCTGGGAGACGGCGCGAGCCTCCAAAACATCGTCCAGTCCCAATCCACGAATGTGCGAATGGGCGCCAATGCGTTCGATGCGCGTTATATCGCGCACTTCGATTTTCTCCGTCTCGGCCATTGTCTGTGCTTCTAGAATATTTCACTAATTACTGGATTTTCTCGATACTAATGTTTCGTCGACTTACAAGTTGTTTATGGAGCTAAAATAAGTTGCTAAGCAAAATGTGAAACAGAACGCCGGGCCTGCTTTTGGTAGGGAAGTGTGGTAAATCGATGGGATATTTGGATTTTCTAACACTGGTGCCGGCAGCATGCTGTCAGTGATGCCCTGGCCTTTCTGCTAACTAACAGTATGTTAAATCATCTGTTTTTGTACGCGTTAGGGAATGTTAACTTTTCTATTGTGAACCCTTGCAATTGTTTTGGGCTTCACCGATTTGATTTGGGAATTATTTATGCATATTTTGAGTTAAAATCAGCACAAAACGATGTCTTTTCTTGCGCAGACTGTGCGCCAAGTGCTGCGCCAGGTGCCCAATCGCTCATTGGCTCTAACAAGTAAGTGGAGAACCCAAATACAGAGTATAAACAATGTGACATAACAACTTCTTGTTCCGAAGGTGCCATGCGTTCCTTGAGCATTTCACCGGCTTTCTACCAGCAAAACAAACCGGCCCCCAGTTCGGTGGATGCCTCTGCCATAGCCAAAGACCAGCAAAAGGAGTGCCAGAGCATTTGCGAGCGCATCAACCAGCAGGTGGCCAAGTCCGAGCAGGGTCGCCTCTTCGCTGTGGTCCACCTCTGTGGAAAACAATTCAAAATCACCCCAGGCGACATTATTCTGGTGGAGGGCTACTGGCCCCCGACGATAGGCGACGAGATCAGTCTGGACAAGGTCCTGCTGGCGGGAGCCAAGGACTTTACCCTGGTGGGACGTCCCATCCTAGAGCCCGGCCTAGTCTCTGTAAAAGCCACCGTAGTGGAGAAAACTCTGACACACACCAAAACACACTTCCGAAAGAAGCGCAGGAAGCAGTATATGCGAATCAACTTCCAGCGCTCACCCAATACCATGATCAGGATCAACTCGATCGAGTTGGCTCGACCCGTAGACCCGAAAATTGAGCCGGAATCGGTACCCTCGAGGCGTTTGTTTTAGTTACAAGTTGTTAATCAAGAAAAAAATGCAAATAAAATCTTGTAAAGGTAATTAAGGAACTCAAATGATGTAGATTTCTTTAAAGTTTTGGAATATATATTAGGGTTCTATCTTTTTAAGATTTATGATCTAAATTTGGACTAATAGTGTTTAATCTTTGCTTATTTATACAATTTTATAGATATATTTTTCATCAGAAACCCTTTTAGTTTTTAAAAAGCCCCTTTACCAACTATTTTCGATGCATTCTGTTCAAGGGATTGCCCTTCTGCTTTCGTTTTATTCTCATTTGAAATTCTACTTTCATCTTGATTCAATGACTTCGACGTGTTCATCTCGACTGGTGGTATTTACCTAAAACGCAACCTAGTTTGGACAGTCAGCCACCCACCCGGCACCACAACAAAGATGAGGCGCCATCTCTAATGAAGCAACCGGAGGAAAGCGTTGCAATTTTAATGACAACCTTTTATCGTTCATGTTGTTGTTGCCATCTTTCATTAAAAGGCGGCGGCCTGGCCCCATACCCATACCCGCCTCAGTCGACCATGCCACATGCCACATGCCACATATAGGATGCCTGCTGCTTTCTTTATCAGCAGATGTAAGTCGCTCCCGAGTCGTCGGCTGTCGTATTTGTTTACGCTGCTCTTTCACTTTTCACTAACCAAAGGCGTTTACTTTTTCAGACATTCCTTTTGCTTTTCCCTGGCCCCATTTTCCGTTTGGCCTTTCCGGTTTCAGTTTTTCTTTGCGGCTTGAAAATAGTTGGAGGCTTCAAAAAAAAAATAGATGCCTTTGAGATTGAACGAGGGTTTAAATTTGATTGGGTTTAAATCAAAAGAACGATTTATGGCTGTCGAGAGTTTATATTTCAACAGATTCTCAGGAAGACAACCCCACTCCCTAACAAAATCCTCCTTTCGCTCCAAACATGATTTAATCGTCGGATCCGTGTTGACATCTTCTAAATAAAATCACTTTCGCTCCATATAAAAATGCCATTAAAAATTATGGCTTCACCTAACATAGCATCCTTGCATCCCCAGCACCGCCAGGACCACCCCGTCTTTCTTCAGCAAATAGGAGCCGACGTGGATGCTTCTAATGGTGGCACATCAAATTTTGCAAATTGCACAAGCAGCACAAATTCAATTGTCGACACTTCGGGGCAAGTTTTGCTCAAATATCCATCACAAAAATGTATATTCCAGCTGCACTTTGCCGGCGAAAATCAAATTTCAATATGGGTTGCGTCAAATAAAAAGACTACGAATACAAATTGAAAGCATTTTGGTGTGATAGAATGTCACCTGGAAAACTGCTTGTTTCGAAAAGTGGGGGTGGTGCCAGGCCCGGCTACCCTTCTCCCATCCCCCGTCCACTACTATTTCGCTTGATTATGTTATTTGCCCAGGAAAATTGCATTTGATGTGCGTTAAGTGACAAAACGGAAATTGCCGCCAAGCGGAAGTTGGGTTTGTTTGTCTTCCTATGGCGGGCGGGTGGCTCTCCGAATGCCTTTGCCCTCTAACCGCCCACCACCACCCACTGGCAAGCGGCCATCTAAGCCATCACTCTGGACCACCCCTGCTCCTCCGCTTGGAAATCCCATGTAAATGCGGCTCAAGTTGGGCCAAATTTCGTAAATTTATGCGTAGAAGCGTGTGATGTATGAGGCGAAAAAGGGAGAAAGTAAGAGAAAGGGGCAGTCTACACTGAGAGAAAAATGGGTGATCAAAAATTCGAACTTCTAAGAAAAAGAAACATGAATCTCTTTTTGAGATTTTATTATAAACTGTGACTTATGGTAATATTTAATGCTCTATAATAAAGACTTTTAATAAATTATTTTTAACAAAAAAAAAAAAGGGTACAAAAAGCTTTATATTTAATAAATAAACCTTGCTTAAAAATCTCTAAAATATAACATAATATATTCTCAGAGTGCACGGAAGGACGAAGGATACTGTATTATGACCGCCCATCCATCATCAGCATCACTCAGTTTTGACATATCATTGAAATCTTATGCCAACGTCGTCATCATCTGTGACGTTTCATTAACCCACCTCCCCGACCCGCTTACCTTCTAACCCCCTCTATCCAGGGTGCTTCCAGGGAGGCAAGGAGTGGGTGATGGTGGGTGGTGGTGTGGGCGGAATGTGTTAATATCAACAAGCGAAAACTGTGCGAACGCAATCTACCGATTTCCGCTTAACCAAGCCAAACATTGCATTTTTGATTAGACACCAGGCCGTCAGGCCCCCAGGCTGGTCAAATCCTGTCCCAAGAACGAGGATTTGGCCTTCCAGGACTCGCAGAGTGTTTGCAGGGGTGGCTTTTTGATGTGGTTCCAGGATTTAGAAGGGCGGATGATGGTTAAAGGAGCGGTAGCTCAGGCAATTGATTGTAATTCCCCTTTTATTGAAGATTTCGACACATTTCTTTTTTTCATATTACATGATTTCTTAGAAGCTTTTTTTTCGAAGCTCAAAGATTATTAAAAAACAGGGTTTTTAAACCTAATACCCGTATCATACCATCTACCATCTATTCTTATAATTCTCTTTTTAATAAACATGTAAATTTATTATGTACCATAAACTATTATCCAAGTTTTCCAAAGGCAATATTTTTAAAACCTCCACCTCTTGGCCCTTCAAAAGCAATCGATTTCAATTTAAAATCGGTTTTCTGGTCTGAACATCCCATTTATTTTCAGCGTGCTTTGCATATCCATCACTTCCCCATTTTTTCATAAGAACTTCACCATCCAAAGATGTATTATTTTCGCATTATATCGATCCCGGGGAGATCCCAAAAGATGCCACAACCCTCGTCTCCATCAATTTGCCTAAAGCATATTACATTCGAATTATAAACTCACATATCATACTATACATGCCCCGATAAGGGGATGATGACGATTTCTGTCACCTTACGCATAACTTGAAAAGTTTTTCTTAAGAATTATGCAAAAATGTGGAAAATGCCCGTTCCACACTGCACTCCTTGGGGATATTTTTCAGTTCACTGAATTGTTGTTTGTGATGCCAAAAAAAAGTGATTTCCCCATGAAGTCAGTGGCAAGGGTTGTCAACGATTTTCCTTCTTTATTTTTTTTTTGTATTCTTTGCGTACTACTTTGATAACCTGATGTTGATATGACAATCTACTCGAACTCTGTCTCTACTCAGCACGTGTCACAATTCGAATTTAAATAAGTTCGACGAGCAGCAAAGTTTTGGGTGGCAGGCGGCATGAGCCGGGAGGCGCCCCCATTTCCCGGCTCTTAATGATGAAATTTCAATAAATGTCATTTGGTCTCGCAAAGTGTCAACATGGCACCTACCCGTCACCGCCCACTTCTCCTCCTGGTTTTTTTGGTTCAAGAGGGTGCGTGTGTGTTTGGGGCTGCAACAGCTGTCAGCACCCGCGTTGAATGCGTTAATAATGACAGTTTTCCCAATATTTCTTTTATTTTGGGAGTCTAACTAGCCGGTCATTGACAGAGTGGCGGGAGCAGGAGGCAGGACGCAGGACACAGTAGTCCCTGCAGTTCCCATCGCTGTCTGTTAAATTTAATTACTTTTCCATTGCTCATACGCACTGTGTGTCCGTTCAAAGTAGTGGAAGTAGTGCTGGCTGGCTTATAGCAGGGAAATCAATATAACTCCTATACAGTTTTATAATATTATAGTCTTGGATGTAAAGCAATTTCAACTAATACTTTGCTAAATCGGATATATTTCTAATCTTTTTCGCAGTCTTTTAGCTTCTTGGGTTCCTATTAATCCCCATAAAATATCTATCCTTAGCTTTAAATAGTATCCTCACAATCCTGGCCGTCAGCACTGACCAAGTGGAACAAAGAGCTGCAGTGAGTGCGAAGTTGTGATTGAAAATCGTTGAAATTTGCATTTTACACGAAGAAATTGCCAACTGCGTTTGTGTCCTCTACTCTACTCTATCGCACCGAAAACCCCTTTTTAGTCCTGTTCGATTCTCGCGCTGATTGCAAGCGGCATCTATTCGAGTTGCTGGGGAGCTCCTCGGTGTCCCCATCATCATCATCATCATCAATAGTTGACAGTTTCATAGCCAGTTGGCGGCGTTTGTCACAATGGCATTTAATATTTGGACTCTGGCACACCCCATTGGTGTCCCGGTGCCGTCATCAGGAAATTGTTGGTCGTGACAAAATATTTGATCAGGTTTTCCTCGTCCTGTATATATCCTCGTGGCTATATTTATACGCCGCTTCGGTGTTGAACTTGTGGATTCTACAATTGCAAATGGGAATCAATGCAGGTTGTATTTAACAAATGCGAATATTTTGCAAAATCAAAAGATAAATGTTTGTATCAGTTTAAAGTTTATAATAAACATTTTTCTATTGGTACAGTTTCTTTTTAAGGTATACCTATTTAAATATTATATTTAATATCATAGCTTAATGGATTTTTTTCATATGTTTGGAAGTGATATGGCTTAAGATAATTAATATATTATTCAACAAATTTCTTTATAAATAAATAGGCAGCTTCACTACTAAAACCTCATTTTAAATGGCCATAATGCTCATATTTTTGTCAGATGAGGTATGCTTTTAAGAGCCTGAATACTTTTCAATATGATAATTTAAGATTATGTGAAACATACTTAATAACGATCTTGGAAGAGTTCCAATTATTTTATAGGATGACAGAAAGAAAACATCAGTTTCATTGTCATGGCCTCGATTGCACGAAGGCGCTTAAAATTGATGTCCTCGAATCCCTGCACTATCGTCCTTGGCTTCCTTGGTGCTCTAACTCGGGAGATGTATTTCTTCTTGTACAGGTTGACTTCTTTTTCCAGTCTATTGATGGAGCGTTCCAATTGAATTAGTCGTCGATCGAATGGGGTTTGGAGTCGTCGCGATTTGGCCCGATTACGGCGCTTACGGCGCATAATGATCTGTAATTAGTCGAAGTGTATTGGACTAAGATGATACACGTATACTATATTAAGCTTACCATCTTCTTGTCGAACTTAATGCGTGCAGACATTTATTTTTAACAATTTTAACAAAGTAAACAAATCATGCCGAAAATAAGTCGCTTTGCAGTACTGTTGGCATAAGAGTGCTGGAAACAGCACTGTTTAAGTGTTGCATTTCTGTGCTTTTTCAATGAAATTCATAAGAATTGCAATTTCAAGTCTTAACAAAGTTTATTTTATTATAATTATGAACAAATTCATCATAAATAACATTAAAACTATCTTTTTCATTTATAGCTTTTTCTGAAAATTTTCTATTTAAGCTCCATTTTTGGTTCTTTTGGGATTTTCAAGCTGTCCCGAATTTAATGCATCATTATCCATTATGTGACCAAACTTGGCAACAGATTTCCATAATGGCTATTTCATTGGTCAGCCAGGGCCAAAACGGACCCACAACCTCGTTTTCCTGTTATGGCCATAAACCATTCCGCCTACTCTTCACGTTTTCCTTGCGGTTACGGGTGGATTTCCAGGCCCTACTCCACGCCCCAACCGCCCGTCTCCGTATCCGGACTTCCACTTCCGGCTGTTGAGTCGTGTGTGAAATATTAAAATTCAATTAAAATGGCGTTAATTCCAGCAGCAGCAGCAACAGCAACAGCAGCAGCAGTGGCAGTGACAGTGGCGTCTGACAACGAATGTCGAATGTCCGCCTGCGTCTGTCATAATTGTCAACTCTTGGGATCCGTGTCCTGATCCGCACTCCGGACAAGCTGCAGCAGGGCAGCATGTTCTCGCTTTAGCATAATGATGCTCATCAACGGACAGGTTGCCCGCCACCGGCCGGAAGTCCCTTCTCTGTTGGCTGTTTTGTGTCGACATCTCAATGGCATCAATGGCTGCCGCTGATTTCCCGTCGCCCCCAGCTCCCTCGATCCCTTTCGGCCATCCTCCCTTTGATGCCTCGCTGTTTTTTTGTTCTTCTCGCATGCAAATTGCACTTCAGACATCAATTTATCATCGGTGCCAGTGGCCAGGAATCAGCATCAGCGTCAGGGCCAGAATCGCCATTCAAAACGAGTCCGGCCAGCGATAATGGTTAATTAATAAATATTTCCCTCACGAATAAGTGCAAAAAGTCGAGGGAATCCTTTTGATATAGAATTTGTATGGGACCTATCGGGCAGTTGGGCTAGGTCCTGGCAGTGACTTCTTTTTTTATATTTGGCGTTCATTTGTAAAGCCATTGACCCACTCGTGTTAACTGGTCAACTGTTGAGTCTAGACTGGAGTGGGATTATGGCCGAGTCTCATTTAATTAATCCCGTTTAAATGGGTTCTTTGTCATCCAACTGAAAATCCATTTAAATATAGACAAATCAACGAAATCAGAGGATCCCAGGACTCATCTCTTGTCTGCACAAATTCAATCCACACGAATCGGATGGCATCTGCTACCCTTTTGTGTCGCACCAAGTTTATTCAGACACACCTTCCGGCTTAAAGGCTTTCCTTTTCGCACAATATTAGTTGTATTTTGTATGTTGTGTGCTTGAGGAGCTCTTCAAGTACCCGTCGACTGTTTGATTAGGCATTCCGGCAGTCGAATAAATACCAATAAAGGGACTCCAGCCCGGATACGGGAATGGGGACTCCGGGAAGGTGTCAACCGTACACGCACTCACACCCACTTCAGACTTTCCTCGACTTGAGTCAATATTTGATGTCGTACCAGAAACTTTTCCCAAACAACTTTTTCGGTTCGTTTTTTCCTCATTTCGAGTCGGCGTCTGCGAGGGGCGGAGTCCTGTGTCTCCTTTGTCGGAGGTCAAGTTATTGGCTCTTGTTTGTTCAATTTTTAAATTTTATTTCAAGATAGTTTTTCGGTGGCGTTCCACCACCAGCAACCCTCCTGGTGTGCGAAAACGCCTCATTGATTGCCCATTTAGAACCGCAAAATTTAATTTATCTGACATCAGTTGATGTTCTTGCGGTTTGCCAATATACATGCAGCGGCCAAACGATATCGAAAGAAGGTCCTCGCTATACCACTATATACGTACGTATCTGACTGCCCCCACCGCAGTTTGTGGCCCTTTGTTTGGCTAACCCATGTCAAAAATTGTACAACAGTTTTCTTTTTTTGTGTGTGGGAGGGAGTGTGTGTTGTTCCCCCCTGTTGCTGGTTTTCTGATAACATTCGGCTGGGTAGCCATGTGTGATTGTCTGAAAGTGTGTGGATATTTAAGATATCATCTGTCGCTGACGATACCCAAGCAGTCCCCATAGACTCCGATTCGGATCCCGATCCCAAACCCAAATCCACATCCGAATACGACCCCAACCCGCAATCGAAGGACGACAGGCACTTCCGTTGCCTGCCACTGCCACCTGCTGTTTGACACCTAAATTCGCTTATTGTTGCCTGCTTTGGATTTACTTTTATGAACTTGTTCTTTTATAAGCGAAATCCATATCTATCTACCTATTGATGTACTCTGCAAAAAGGTTTAATATTTAATATTAGAATAAGTTCATAAGTAGCATATTAGACAAGAAATTAAATAAAGGGATCTACTTTATTACTTTATTGTTATAAGCTTCGAGTTCTTAACTTATATTAGACTTAACTTAAATAGATCATTTTTATAAAATTGTAAACCACCCAAGAACTTTATGTAAAACTATAATAGAAGCCTTAAAAAAATATATTTTCCATATGTACCATCAACCACATTTTATTCACTTGAACTATGGTTTCTTACCTTTATATCCTTCTAATATTTTTTATTTTTTTGTAAACGTATAAACTATTTTTTGAACAGTGTCTATAGGTGTATCTGGTGAAATTTCAACACTTCATTCAATTCGCAATTCGTTTCAACAATTGAAATGCGATTAGCGCCAAGGTGCACACCGGGGAAATGAATGAATGAATAACTGCGGATGAGGTGGAAGTGGGGTAGGGAGTTGGAGAAGGTTATTCGGAGCTGGGTTGGATACATTTTTGATTTATGTGAAATTGAGTTAAATTCATCCACACACATGCACACACATCCTGGCCCGCAGGCTTCTGTGTCGGCTGTCGGTTCGCATTGTAGCGAGCGCGTCCTAATCAAGGCTATTCACTTGCCATAAATCAAATTAAATGGCTGTCACATATCGCCGGGGCGCCAGTGGGCCTAAAGCCCCTCCTCAGCTTAATCCTCCTCTTTGTCCTGCTGCCCCTTTCCCTACCCCTCCTCCGGCATGTGCTTCCCCATCCTGATCCTCTTTCTGCCATTACATTGTTATTGTAGTTGCCCCTGTCAGCTAAGCATAATTAAAAGCCAGGAAAATTGTGAGGAAAATACGGGCTTAGAATCGCCATATTCTTGGTCATGATGTAAGCTTTTTTTGTGCTGTGGCGAAAGTACTGCCACTGATTTGGCTCAAACACAATAGGCAATAAGTTAAAGGATTATTTTTTGAGTTAGATACAAAGTTTGGGTTGTATTCTTTGATATTTTATTAAGAATTAAAAGCTTAATTTAATTTTCTAATTGGAAACCAGAACTTCATAATCACTCAGAAGTACTTTTGAAGTGTTCTCGGGCCAAATGTAGCACAATCCTTTACTGGGATACAGGGATCCGATAATTAATCCTGATGTCGTATTTCCACGGCAGACAATTACAGACTCTCCGTCTGCGTCGGTTCCTGCAGCCACCGCTCCCGGTTCGGAGAGTCCGTTCTTACTTGGGATCCACCCAAAAGTAACACCCTCGGGGGCCACCAAAAAATCATAGTCACGGGATGTAGTTCCGGCATGGTTTTGTCCATTGTATCTGGCCTTAAGAGTAGAGGTTCGGACTCGAGCTGGCACAACCTCGGTACTTGCCTTCTTCCGGCCAACCACCAAGTCGGAGACAAGGTCCTGGCCTCCAGGGACTAGGTATTTCGAAACAGGATCATTGCAATAGTTTCTGGGCATCCAAGTGTGGACTTGATCTGTGAATGTGAAGAAAAATGTAGGGGATAATCCCACGATTAGTTGTTAAATTTTACCATATTCAGTAGGTCCTGCCAGGACAAGTGAAAGAAGGCTAAAAAGTGCCACGATAATTCGGAACATCTTGTTTTAAGAACGGAAGAAACTTCTTTAAGATTTAATTTGCCAAATTTTTGGCTTTTATAGGCAACCTGGTATCTACAAAATTGTTGGCCTTTATAGACAATATTTGTCAATTTATGATGTTTGAAAATTTGTATAATCTTATCAGTCTATGACTTGTATCAGTGTTTTTTGTCTTTATTGGTTAAAAAAAGATTCAGTCATTTTCAAAGGTAAATTAACTTGCTTTGAAAGTTAAATATAAATAATAATTGGCTGACAGAAAATAATAAATTTTAATAATACGCAACAAATAAATCAAGGATGGAACCAACCAATAAGGAACCAAGAAAGTATGTTATCAATTTAATAATTTATGATCAATTACTATCTGGAATCAGACAGGTGTTAGTCAATAAAAAATAAACCCTTTGTTCTAATTAATTTTTCAATTAGCTTTAAAATATTTTATTTATTTTCCAAAGAATAGTTTTTTCTGTTTTAATGGCACCTTCTTTGGTAGCTAATCTCACATTCCGATTAATTTTCCACCTTGATAAGCCAGATGGAGCTGTCACTTTTCCTCACCCCCCCCACCCCACCCATTCCGGTGAAAGTCCTTTGGCCCGGAGTGAAGTGTAGCTAATTTACTGTGCCTGCGATTTTTGCTGCTGCAGCCTGGGAAAAATCCTTTTGACTTCAAAGAAGAACTGTTGCTTGGAGTGCGTGCTGTGGGTATAAGAAGGGGGGACGGGCTGGGAAGGTCCAACAATGTTGCCAAACACTTCACGTGGTAGGCTTTCTCTCTCTCTCTCTCTTTGGGGGCTCTCCTTTTCGTCCTTTGACACTGTCAAACGCGCGTTTGGGCCTCCACCCCTCGAAAACTCCCTACTTTTGCAGCTTGGAGTGCATTTGTTTTTTGGCTTTTGTTTTAATTGGCTTGCTACCGGGCTTGAAGGAGTCGTTGTGTCCTGATCCTTAACTCCTTTCTCAGCTGCAAACTACATTCCCCATTCGCCTCGCTCATTAAACATTTACTCTCGACGCTTTGTCGGCGTGAACTTTGATGTTGACTTTGGTCCCCATGTCCCTCAGGTCCAGAGGGCCTCGGAGATAACCACTTGAGATTGCATCCTCCTGCGTGTCCTGGAGCCGCCTTCCATCTACCACCCACCCATCCACCGCCGTACGCCTTTGAAAAAATGCGAATGCATTCTGCCGCAATTTGTGGCGCTCGTTTGGCCTAACATTTCAACCCCTCTGGTTTCGAGCCTAGCCGAGTCCTCGACTCTTCTGCAGTTGCATCTTCACTTAGTTGCTGCCGCTTGTGCTATCCTTTTATCCTGCATCTCAGTCTTTGCATTTTCACAAAAATTAACATGCAGGTTTGAGAAGGAAACTGTTTTAGGAATCAGCTGGACAAGAAGGAATATGTGCTTTCTTTGATTAAAATTTTACTTAAAAACTATAAGTTTTGTGAACGTTTTACCTTGTTTTGTAAAACACCTCTTAACCAAAATATACCTTGTTTTTATGGCTAGCCTAGTCTACCTGAACTCAAACTCTTAGCAATTTTCAGGACATTGCCAAACCGCAGAACGTGCGCAACTATTTTGCTTTTGCCAATTAATAGAAGAGGCAACTGTACTTGCAACAAAAAAAAATAATCAAAATTAAAACGCACATGTCATAAATCAAAGAGGCTTTGCAACTAGGGGAAACGCAGGAGCCCAGGATACCAGGACTTTGGCAAAACTATGCACAATGCAATTGCAGTGGAGAGAGGCCCATTGTCATGAAGTCGTACGGCGTATGTGTACGGCAATTCACTTAGGACTTCAACTCTATTTCTACACTGAGGAAAAATAAACAACCTTTTTATTAACTTTATTTAATGTTAAATCTTTTGATGATCCAAACTTTCTCTCAGTGCCATCGGGCCTCCCCCACTTGGCATCGTTTACGAAGCCATTCAGTGTGCGACTACCTGTATTTATGGCCTGTAGCCTCCTGTGCCTGGGCCTCGGCTTTTATCTGCCAGCGGTAGTTGCATTCCATTCATAAATATTTTTTCATTCACTTATTTGTGGCCCACCCTTTTGGCCATACCTTTCTCCACCCCCCTGGAAGCAATTTTTTTGCGTTTAGCTTTCGCCTGAAGTTGCATTTGTTATTGTTGTGAGTCGCTCGGAGTTGCATTTTAAGCGTCCTGGCTGCGAGTGCGGTTGAAAGTTAGAGGAAGTATCTATGGGGCTCAACAATGGGGCATATGTTTGTCGCTGCCTTTGATCTCTTGCCAAAGTGAAAGCGATTGCATCTTGCTGCTTTTTGAGCGGATAGTCGAGTTCCCACTTCAAGCGGCCTTTGCCAAAGTTAATTGCAAAAAAATAAACAAAAATGTAGAAAACAGGCTAAGGATAACATAGACCTACGTTTGGCTTCTAATTAAAAATATACATGTTTGTATATAGGCATTTTTTATTTGGGCTCTGCAAGTGCAATTAAAACAGACATCCAGTTTTTGAGGGCTAAGGTGTATACGAATGTACTCGCATTTTCAGGACTAATTAGAATTTTGAGCTAACCAGGCGGGAATTCAAATTGAAGGCCAGGTTCTGCAAAGAGTTTTTGAGGTTTCTTACGGAGAGTATATCTAGGGCCTTTTAAATATTTTTAAATACAATTTTGATTAAAAAGAAAGCCCAAATCGACTCTAAATTAATCATAGCTTAAATCCCTACCTTCCAAGCTCCTGTTTAGATATCTTTTGCAAAATAAATATTATTTCTTGGCTTGTATCCGCCTTTTGGATTCTTGGCTTATTTAAAATCAACGCCTGTGGCTTAGGCAATAAAACTCGTTATTGCTTCTTTAAAACACAAAGAAAAGTGAGGTAGAAGCACGCCACATGCTCACTTAATCATTTATGCAGACCTTATAAATTTTCATTAAAGTTTGATACCAAAAATCTGCTCCTTCCAAGCAGATGTTCCCACTGAACCTCACCCACTCCCCAAGACTTTTGAGCCATCTTTTGCACTGTTGTCAGTCAGTGATTATGTAAATATTTCAACACAAATTAAAATCAAAATTAAAATTACAAAAAGCTGCCACAGGCAACACATGTCTGTTAGGGAGCGTCGGATGTGAAAACTCCGGCCTAACACTTTGCTTAGAGGCTCCTGCGAAGCTTTTCAGGGGTGTCCTTGCCCCTACCCCCTGGTTTCTGGTCCATTTCTCTGGCTCTCTCTTTCTGCCATACAGTTCCGTCTCCCTCTAATGTGTAGTCTTCGTTCATGTGTGTCTTATGGGAAATTTAAATAAAGTCAGCAGGCAATTTATTTGCATTAACATTTTGTGTGTCTCTGGCAGTGTTCATCTAAACTGGGAGAATCAAATAGTAGTTTTCTTTTTTCTAATTTATGTTTCTAAATTTTAGTTATAAAATTATATTTTTAGAGGCTTTATTTTTAAAATGCCTAAAGCTAAAGGCTATTTCTAACAATACCTTATTTAAGCCCTTTATAGTTTCACCTATTTTAATTTATAGTTTAATTGGGAATAACATTTTCCAGTGCCTTTGGGCCTTATGTTTCCTGTTGGCATCAGAGTATATATGTGTGTGAACTTTCCTGTTTGTGTGATGCAAATTTTTCGTGTGCCTGCTGTCAGGTTTTTGTTGGCGGTACCGCTTCGTCGTTTTGTCGCTTGCTGGTCGCTTCATTGAATTTTGCACATCCCGTAAAATTGTTAAAAAACAAGCTACCATAACAATAAAAACAACAAAAAAAAAACTGCATCCATGGTGACTGCAACAAAACGCGTTGTCGCCCACTTTTACCATTTACTGATTTATAGCTTTTCCTGCAACTGCAACAGCAGCAGGCGGAAAAGCCCCCGAAAGTGTGCTACGCCTTTCTGCATTTCCCACTATAAATCAAAAGCAACAAACAAATTGCCGTTGTTGTTGCCCTCGCAGTGTGACGACGCTTTTGTTGGCCATCTACTGTGTTTAATCATTAACGCTTTTTTTCTTTCGTTTTTCCCATTTTCCGCTCACTCTCAATCCATTTTTATTGTTATTAATTAATCAGTGGAAATTGCTGCAAATAACAAAAAAAAAACGAGTGTAAAGCGCTTTTTTTTAATTTTTTGGTAAGCCAAATGCTGTAAGGACATGCACTGTAGATGTGGCAGGACTATGACTATAAATTATGGTTTATCCAGGAGCACTATCACTGAATCTATTAAAAAATTCCGACAAATTCATTTTCCATTTAATCTTAAATCTTGTCGGAATTTGTTGATAATTTGTTGGTAATAATTTAGTCTACACTTCTAACCCGAAAAAAACTAGTATTTGTTTACTGTTTTTAATATATTCATTAATTGAGGTCTTTGTTACTTAACTGTCAGCATAACTCGTGTGATTGCATTTAAAATTAAATTTCTCTTGATGTGAAAAAATTGCTTTCAATTGCCGGTGGCGACATTGAAAGCCCAAAAGTAAACACTTTATTCAACTGGCGTTGACAGATAACCGAGGCAAACAAGCGCACACAACTGCAGTTATTGTTTATAATATTTATAATTTTAATTAAATAACACATCATAGATTTTGATTACAATGAGGGAATGAAGCTGACGGCTCACTTGCCAGTCGAGGGACTGAGAGGATGAGGAAATGGCTGAGTGACTGAGTAAGTGTTGGTCCATCAGTTTCAATTTGGTTTCGGGATAGTCGAGTATTTCCTTTTTACACTGAAAGAAAATATTATATATTAAATATAGTATATTTTTAATTTTTGTAGAATAAGTTTTGGGTACATTTTCTTTCTCTGAAATGGTTTTTCTTTGGCTACAGACCTTTAAAGATATACTACTCTTTATTAAATCCTTTTCTTTTTATTTTTTTTCTGTTGCTTGGTTGGGCTGATGGTTATGCATTAAGGTCACTTCAGCTTGACAAATGTCAAATGGCATTTAACGGCATTTGCACAAATCATTACGATTAACAAATG